ACAGCCACCCCGCCACATTGACACAATCTCTGTCAGCTACCACTATGTCAATAATGCCACCTGACCCGGATATCAGCAACCTGTTGACCTCACTCCAAGGGCATCCAACACTCACCCATATCTCATTTGTTGACCTTGCGAGTTTCATGCGCCATGCTAACTTACTAAAGGACAATATCCTCCAACCACAGCCACATAATGTCTCCATCGAAGAGGGGCGGGCGGGCAGGAAACACAGGAAGGGGGCAGATAAGAGAGAGTAGTGAGCATGGCATTGTCATAAGGTAGACATGGGGCGGAGTATGAATGCAGAATTCCAACAACAGCTGCATACTGGCAGGCAGTGGCGGGCAGGCGGGAGATGCTGATCATCGATGATCAGCAATGAGCAGGCTGGGCTTTGTCATCAAACGGTGTTTAAACTCAGCTGTACTCTGCCGGACTTGCCAATGGGCCCCAGATTTTGGCCCCAGAGTGTCCAACTCCCTGACATTCTGCTTATGTCATATACTTAACTGCCCTACTAGTCATGATGTACTAGATGACTGTGCTCGATCGCTCCCTTTCAAAAGACTTACTGGATGATGACATAGTCTATTAGCATTCAACCCTCTTTGATAGGCTATATCTCCAAGGGTATCGCTCTCTGCAGACAAGGCCATGTCCCAGATGATGAGGGCAGCATTTAGTACATGGACCAAGGTTCACAAACCCTCCATTTCCTGCTCTTGATCAAAGTATGTTACATTTACTTGACATCCTCCCCACATCATCACATATTTTAGGCCATCATGCCCTTCAATGCAGATCAACATGACGAGGCAAACTTGCTCTTCATAGAACTCACTACCTGTTGTCCACATGCCGACACTCGCATCTCATGTCGTGCAAGTAAGTATCATCTATGCTTGGTCATCAAACAGTCATTTTTACCTACAACTTGCACATCAGGCATATCTACATGTTCAACTCATAATCAAAGCCTTGGGTGGCACATGCCACAAAGAAGCCACCGACCATTTCACCACCACTCTCAACTGCCACAATCCATCACTGAAATCTAACATTTATGAAACATATGCACAGGTCAAAACTATGTTCTGAGGTGTGCAGGTGAGCCATGTGGTTGAATCCTGGTTTCACAGCGACCCACTCATGCTCACTTTGTCAGAATTGCAAATTCCCTACTCGAGCCGCGGCTTTTTGGCCAACTCTGAATTCCTTTCCTGCCAGTATACCTTATAATATTGTTGTCTCGGGTTATTTGTATCTCAGCAGTTCTATCCACGACGCTGAGGTATGTACAATGTTCATTGCACACTGTATCTCATTGTACTCTATCAGTTCTACTTTCGTCAAAAATACCATGCAGTTTCGCAATACCCCCTAATCATTCACTGTTGGGTTTGAGTTAGAAATAACCCTAAGGCCAAAGGCAGCAAGGGACATCCCTGGGTTCTGATTTGAGGGTGGTGGTGGAAACAATACGACAGCCACTTCAAGGGAGGATGTCAACGCCATCTACACCTTCTTGATGTTATGTTTGAACTGTGGTGTCCATTTTGAGCGGACCGCTGACCCTTACACACTATGGAATGTGACATCCAATCATTCTGTGAGAGGTTCCGATGGATTCTGTAAGAGTTAAGTTTATTATTGCCAATGTTGAATCTCCAATTTTCATAGACAGTGCTGAAATTCAGTCCCTGAAATACTCAGGTTCAGTGTGGAGACCTGCTATCAACTATCTATTCCAGACCCTAGACCAATTCTTCGACCTGAATGCGAATGAATCTTGTGGAACACACATTCACGTTTCCCGCAGCGATGTCAAATGGCCCATTCTTGAACTACAGGCAATCGCGAGAGCAGTGGCATATTCCTTCACCTATGTCCTGACAGAGACCAATCACCCTACTGTCAAGCAAATTGTGAAGACGGTCAGCTGGAAATATTGCGCGACATAAACAACACAGGGTCCTGGGATCTCATTGATCTTATGTCACCCAAGCACAACACTGCTATTAACTTCCAATCCCTTCATCCACTTGAAGACTTCCGTGACACAATCGAATTCAGGTTATTCCCCACAACCAATAGTCCAGAAGCACTTGGACAGTACATACTATCATCCTTAGCATTCATTTCTGCATCCCTACGAACCCAGCAAGATTATTACACCAAGGAAATGCAGGATGTGACAATAAACAGCTTTCATACATTCATGACTCTGCATCTTGATGAAGCAGGACACAGAGTCGACCACAGGGCATTATTCCACAACAAGAAGTATAATTCAGTTGATGCACAGATACAATGACACTTGGTACAGCAACGTCTTCTCGCAGAGTTGGCTGCAATGCAGGCAGCCAGCTCTGAAGCGCTCCACAAGATACACCTGCCCCAGAATACTGAGATCCCGTGGAATGTCTTCAGTCCCGAGGGACAGCTGACAATATTTCAAGACTTCTCCGAGTCCGACTCTGCCTCCTCCTCCTGAGCAGCCAACAGAATAGTTCTTCTCCATGTCCCCGAAGTAATTCCTTGCATGTAATAATCAGCTCCCCCCTATGGAATGACGGGTAAACCCGCAGGTGTACCTGCGGGTGCGCACTAAGATTTCGAAAAAAAAAATGTAAGTATGAGCTAGTAGTTGAAGTCCATAACATACCTTCCATCCTTCAAATGGTTTCAAGTGCCGAGTCGGCAGACCGGACAAGTATAAATGGGAAGTGCTGCGTAAAATGGTGGCCGTGAATGTTCAGACGAAAAGCAAGGTACAGTAGATATGTTCATATTGCATATTGTAACATTGCATATATGTTGTAATGCATGGACTTTTGAGGATCCCGACGTGGGCAGGTTGAAAATGCAGACATAATGCATTGCTATTGTGTGAATGATATGCATTATTAGAGGGTCATAATTAGGGCAATGGAACATAAGTAGCACCCAAACCATTGTTCTCCAGCATTGTCCTGCTCAGCTATGTAAGCATGGAACAGATATGATGTCCCATATTCATAAATATGACCCTAAACCTGAAACACAAGCCTTTGGATGACAAGTCAGCAGAAGGATGGGCCATCGTTCATGTGCACGGAACTCCTCAATTTGTGTCAGCAACTTGCATGCAACACGGTGGTCCTCAGTTTTCCCTGAATTTGTCTTCACAGCTCCGTTTATTCGTGCTCAATTACAACGAGAGGAGCTACTTAATGCGAAGCAGATTTCCATAGATTGTTACTTCGAAGTATAATACATGTAGGTGTTGTGGATACTGTACTGTGTCACAATTTTGGCAGATGTCACAAGTGTCACACGGATGTGACATATGTGGTCGTGCATATGTGTCAAAATGCATCAAGTTTTTGCCGCCCCAACGGTATGCATTATGAGCATATTTACTGTATCCCTAGTGGCGTCACCAACGCGCGTAAGCTCGGCATGACCCTATGACCGCCCCGCTAATCGTGAGAATTCGCTGGGAAAAGAATGAGCTTGAGCTACTCACCGAAAACCACTTTGGGATGGATGAGAGGGTCACGACTGAGCCACCGAGGTTTTTTGTCAGAGCCAGTGCTCCCAGCCACCAAAGAAGACGCTCTCCATCGAAAAAAGAATCAACTCCAAGGGACAACGAGAGGAGATCCGCTAGGTGAGCCATCAAAGCTGCTATTAATTCGGCTTATCATCAAAGTGTCGGTAATAACCTTCCCGCATGTTGGGCAAGTCATGTATTCGATGTGCGATGTGGGAGTTGCTGAGCTCGAGGCTTCATTGAGAATGACCGAAGGATCAATACGACTTGAAAGTCCGTCGAGTGATAAGCCTGCACGAGTTCCCGAAGACAGGTTTGCGCAGAGCACGGGGAAGCGGTGCCATTACAGGATAAGAACAGAGCTGATGGTAAAGACTGCGAATCACAAAAACAAAAATGCACTCAAATTGCTTCGCCAGTATGGAAAGCCGGACGCTCGTGCTCAACTATCAATCAAATACTACCTCATATAGTAATCGGACCTCGAGCACCGCACTGGGCATATTTATTTGTGTTGATCAGTGCACACGTACTTGCGTATTTGAATCTAAGTCGAGTGCATAGTGATGAAAACCGAATGCCGAAATACATTGTAACACTATCCAAAAAACATATGCCAAATGAAAACCAGTATCGTTTAGACTACTCCGGCCTCAAACCCTGGCCATTTGCAGAAGTGGTTGCAAACGTGGCGAGCCTCTCGATATTACCCCCCCCCCCCCCCCCCAAAAGATGTCTTTGCTGTCACTAACCGAAGAGTGTGTCATAATCTGTGGATCGGTCAACAGCTTGGTATTGCCTGTTTGATTCTGATGTCAGAATTGCCAGTGCGCAACACATCAACGTAAAGCACATACCTTGATAATCAGAGATAAAAACCAGCTAATTTTTTGGTTGATATTTGAGCACGAGCGTCCGGCTTTCCATACGCCAGTCAGGGAGGACCCATGAGAACTCCCATGGAACCCAGGCCCCAACTTGTCCGGACAAATTGGGGGTATTTCTGTCCAGATGCTGACCTGGGTTTACCTGAGAGCAAAATTTTGTCCCGACTCTGACCCAGGTCCACAAAAGTCTCGAAAAACGCATTTCGCATTCAATGGAAGCTGTATACAGCAGGAATCGAACTAGGATTGGTTGGGAGTCGTCGCGTCGTGAATTGGCGCGTACGCGGCGTACGATGAAATAAAATGGCGGAAAAAAATCGTTATTGAGTAGGGCTATTCACCACTCTGCAATACATACTCTGATGCTCTCAAGATTTTTAGCGCCTGTAATCAATCACATTTTTTACAATGCGCTGTTGTGTTGTGAGACGTGCTCGAACTTCAAGCGAAGTCTTGCCGGCGCAAGTGACGGTTACCGAGTTACCGTAGGGACTTACTTTCATCGACGAGCGAAGAGCAAGATAGCACCAATATTGTGTCACACACTTCCTTTTGTAATGAATACAATTTTCCTCAAAATTATGCATATACAGCTGATATAATTAGAACAGACTCAGACTATAGAAACAATGAATAATAAAAAGACTCCTTATGTATATGGTGTACCAGTATCTGGTGCATACATAATATTCATGGTGTCACTCCTGGCTGGGCACCGGCATCCATTCGCAGCTTGGTGTCCCGTGGTGACCGATAAAGGATAGTCTCAAAATCCAACGCTAGGCGGTCCACAAGCTTAGCCTTCAGTACTCTCGGAACACCCATAGATACGTCTACCGAGCCCTTTCGAGATCGCCAAGTGCCATCGCATAGCGTGGGGTTCGATTTGAAGGGCCGAAAATAGAACTTGGAAATCCCAGTTGTGAAAAAACTGGAAGAATCAGGGAACCCGAAGTGAGCGTCACACCAATCAATCCTGCAAGTAAACAGTCATGAGAGTGTTTGAGGAAGACCCAGAAAACTCATACGCGACATTAGAGTTGATTGTCATCACGCCAGGACGCGAAGCAAAGAAGAAATATTTCCCAGCATTGACAGTCGCTAGCATGATATCGCTTGTCACAGCCATCCAATCGTCAAGAAACATCTGGTCACGGCACCGAACAATCGATTCCCGCACAGCAATGGCGATACCTCGCATATTAAATGGCAGGGTGCCGGTGGGAATCTACGGATGGATAAATAAACATTTGCTGCATGGAATGTGCCACAGGACATTCTGGATAACATTCCCTGCAACATTGCCTGCGATATAGTGAGCTTCAACACGCCGAAACTACAGCGTCTAGCGATCAGAAGCAATCTATAATGTTGAAAGAAAGCCTCACATTAGCAACATTCGTGACCATGCGAATAGGCCTAGGCATAGAACGATTCAGCAGAGTGACAACATACGCTGTGAGGCAATCGTGCCGCGAAAGATAGCCCTCCTCATCGGCACTGAGCATGGAGTGGAGCGCATTCAGATGATGGTCATGAAATCTCCATCTGAGGTTTCCCAGATCCTCGCAGGCCTCGGTATATTTGGCCTCGAGCTCATCGAAAGGATAAGAGACCCACAAATGAGGTAATAGTTGAAGAAAATCTGAGGATGTAGATGGCTCCGGGGTTCGGTACTGATGTTTGTCGAAAGTTGGAGGAGAAAAATCTGGCTTGACCCTTTGGTAGAACAGGGACAACGTTTGCATGAACCGAAAAAGTGCCACCGCATCTCCTGCCATTTCCCACCCTACTCAGAAAATGATTCACCAGTCATGTATAGGACCTACCGAGAGTATGGTGCCAAGATACCGCAAGAAATGTCCTATCTTTGAACGCTGTTATCTTGAAGCGAACCAGGGAAGCACTACCATTGACGATGATAGCATCTGGTGGTGGTTGGCTGAGCAAGGGAGAAAGGTCGTCTTGGATGACCCAGTCTCCTTGAATAAAAGAGGTAGACAATTCTTCTTTGCGATCCTCGGCCTCAACAGCCAGTCCGGAATTTGTCAGCTGGATCTGAAGTCTTTGAGTCTCGGCCGGCCATGCATGATTCGGTAATACTCACGAACCAACGACCGCCGGTTGTGCATAGTTTCCCCGCGGCATGAGGGTACATCTGCAAAGTGCTTGCCAGGGCGTCGTGGAAATGCTCAATGTCAATGGACCCATCGAATGCATGAACATTGTCCACCTAAAAAATGTCCCTCTCATCAGAGGGACTAGGGACTGAGAACCAAGCAGTTAAGTGAAACTCACAAAGTGCAGCCATAGGTCGTAACCTGGAAGATCAACAGATTCACGACCTGCAAGTATAGTGGGTTCCTTGGGAACAACGTACTGAACGACTGGGGGAGACATTGTCGAGCCGAGTAAAAACACAGACCAGTACTTGTATTGAACAATGACGTCCAGTAATAAGCGGTCATACATAGCCATATCTACGGCGAATGACGGGTAATAGTGGGAAATACATCAACAGCATCGCGAGAGCTCCGCAAATCGGGAGATAGAAACATGCCGTTGAGCCACCGAGTAAGGGCCTGCGGATCCATCAAGTAGATCCGTTGATCCATTGAGTAAAGATCCATTGAATATTAGCTAAACATGTTGAAATTCGGCTTGACTTTTTGATCAGTATTTGAACGTTTGAGTATTCTTGCACATCAGCTGTACACGCAATGACGTCGATGCGCAGTGGGCCAATTATAATACATATTGATTCCATCCCCGCTCAACTCACCTTGGCATTCTTCTTCCCCTCCATCATCTCGTTGTCCTCTCGCAAAATAGCTGTTGTACAGGCAAACTGAGTCGCTTGTTTCATGCACGGCTGGCGGAACACATGGTGAGTGTGCCGGTGTGCCGACGAGTATGTTTTGCAGGTTCCATCGGGTTGGCTGTGTGATAGGTCGGGTATATGCATGGAGGCGAACACAGCCCCTCTTAACATAACCAATCGAAAAATGTCGGCGGGTCCCAAAGTCGGATGAAAGATCTCCCTCTTGCAAACAGAATGAAAAATACGTGATTTGAATGCCGAAGGGTTGCAGATTCATTGCAGCCCAATCGGCTAAGAGCATCGCGAAAAGGCATACAGTAATTGCCTTGACCGACCGTTTGCCGAGCGCCTTGCAAAGTTGCAACGCGGGCGTCGGGTATCATGCACACATGGCGATGAGCACGGCAAGGTTTGAAGAATCTTTCGGCGGAGACGGTGATGTTATCTGATGGGACACGGTTCACAGTAGCTTCCCGATGGAAACCAAAGCAACAAGTAAACGATGGTGTTCAATGGGTGTCACTCGCGAATTGAATTGGTGATGAATCATGCAAGCGACACGATAATGGGCCCAAAATCGGCGGTGAAGAAAAGCTATTTGTGTATGTGAGTGACCACAATGAAAAAATTTGTTCAGTGAGTCAGTACATGCTCAAGAGGCAACCATAAGCAAAATTGCACTGCGCACACCAATGTTTGCTGTGATTCTTGAACACGAGCCAACTGTAACAAAGGAATGTCGATCATCAATTTTGCAACATCGAAGCGGTGCAGAGCAACAAGGCAACCGCACTGCGGCAACACAATAATTAATGGACGAGTTATAACGTTATAGCACCATCGTGTTATCGATTGGTGTTCCTAACATAGCCAAACAAAACAAACGCCATTATCAAGATTTATGTTTGACGTGACAAGATATATATAATCTTCTACACCCCTCCCTTTTGTACTGCATGTCAACGTGCAACATATGGTCCATAGAGCTCATCCACGGATTCTCTTTTTTGGCCTAGGTTCTAGATATCCTATCTACATTAAAACTCAGATGTATAGCAAGAAGTGAAAATCTTACTGGGTTTGCTTGGCTCAAAGTCGTCACCACCATCAGTTGCAGACGAAGATGTGCCGCTTAAAGAAACAGTAGCAGTGTCAGAAGTCTGTCGTCGTAATGGGCGCTTCGGGCGAGGTTCCTTGGAGTTTACTGCAGTGTGTACAGGTGCCGTGGGTGGTGGTGCAGCATTTGAATGTACTGCAGCGCTAACAGCACTCAGTCGTGGTAATCGTATCTTCAACGTTGGAGTGGCAGATTGGGCAGACTGGGTGATTGTGACTGAGGCCTTGGGAGTAATAGGTGCATTGACTTTGTGAGGATTGGAGGTGGGCAATACCGAAGCACTACTCAAGTCAGAAGCATCAGGACCCACAGATCGGATCATGGAACAAGATGCCGGCGCAGGGGCCTGGGTGTCCTTCGCTGCTTCCGAAGGTCTGGGCTTCCGGCGTTGGCGAGTAGTTCTCGTGGGCTTCCCCTGCTGCAAAATTCGGGGGCATATACACGTAAGTGGGAGACCCAAAGATATCCACAGTACTCACAGACTCTGCTAGCTTCTCGGAGTTGTCAGGCAGACGTAAATTGATTTCCTCCGCCTCCTGTTTTACCGCAGTTCGCGTCCTCTTGGGCCGCACCGGAGCCGACTGGTCAGGAGTTTGTACTGACGACTTGGCGACGGAACCGTTCTCAGCCGCAGGGAGAGCGGACTTCATAGGTGCTTTGCGCTGCAAGAACCTTCCTCAGTGACATAGATATGGATATGCAGGTAATCAGTCAACATGCCTTATTAGTAGACGCCCTCAATACCTGCGAGGGCAAAGGTATCGTAGGCGGTAACTCTGCTTCCGTTTGTGTACTGGAATCAACAAGATTTCTTGAACTACCGATAGGGCCATGTCTCTGTTCTGTTTGTATGGTCAGCATTCGCTGGAAATTGCACAATGCCTATAAACCATGTTAACCCTGAAATGGTGTGATGACGGAAGCCTTCAAACGGATCTTACCTGAGCAGCATGCAACTCATCTCGAGAGATAAGAGGACCTTCTGGTAATGTACCAATGCTTTCATCAAAATCGTCCAAAGAGCTCAGGGATGTAAGCGGCGAAGACATCGCGGACACCGGTGGCCTATTCCGCATTAACGACCGCCACCCATCAATGCCACACACATACCTTTGATCAAGATACTGATCTTTACTGATCTTATTCCAGAAATCGAGCATGATCACTTTCTCCGGAACCCTATATCTTCGACCATTGATAAGGATTTCATCCAGGACTAACTTCTCTGCTATCGAAGCGCCTTGTGGGTGGACGATGTCGATGTTGCCATTATTAAACTGGCGCGGTTTTGTTATGTCTATCATGGGTGGGTTTTGCTTTGGAACGCGACGCTTGGGTTGCTGGGAGCACAGTGAATCATGCAAGCCTAACTAATGGACTGTGAGAACTTACCAAAGCATGATCTGCGTGGTTGGGACACATCCACTTCTTATTGAATGGAGGCATAGCCACAAGAGGCGGGTCGAGACAATCTAAATGCCAGTGAAGGTTGCAGTAATCGCAAGACACCATGCTTCTCCAAACTTCGGGGGTGGCACTATTGGAGGACGAGGTTGACCTCCTGGAACGCTTTGCCGGTGGAGCAGATACATCAACGACACTGGGAAGGGTAGATGTTCCGCAACGGAAGCAAAGCACAGGGACACCGTTCTTGTCCTTGAGGCGGTAAGGTTCACGCTCCTCAAGTTGACCGTGACGACTATAGGCGTGAGTAACGAACGGAGACATGTGGAATTTCACTCTCACTTCAGGCGAGGTGGTTTGATCTCTGAGTTATCGACGTAACACCCATTGGAACCAGTAGCAACTAGTTCATCGACGATAAGACCTTTGAGACAAAAACGGCCATGAAGAAACATACCATCTTTGAAGAAACTTCTAACATCCTCTGGTAGCTGGAATTCTTTCGGAATGTTTGTCTGTGCTTGATGAATGAGGGGCGACATGAAGGAAGGAGGAGGTTTGTTTGGCGGATGCTGTTGTGGCATGGGATGAAATCCTTGTACAAAGTCCTAGCAATAGAACAAACGCACCTTCCGAATCGTGCAGCTAGGACAAAACCACTTCTCTCCAAGTTCTGGTAGGTCCACGGGCTCCATTGGTGGGTCCAAACACCAGAGATGAAAGGCTCGTGGGCATCCATCACAATATACCAGAGCACCCAATGACCGGCAAGATGAGCAATGATCTTCGTTCAACTAAACGACACAGTAATGAGGGGTATGATCGTAAGTGAGGGACCAAATGCGCACCAGTGGAAGTGAAGGGTCAGGGGAGAGCGAGTACGTGGCCATTGGTTCCTCCTTGATCTTTACAGAGTGTTTTTCCGTCTCTTTTCCTTTCCCTTTGTCTTTTCTCGGTCTTCCTCTCCCATTTGATACCACTGGAGGAGGCAGTTGAGGCGGCAAAGGTTCATCGAGAGCAGGAGCAGAGGTAGCTCGAGAAATTGAAAGTTCGTCAAAGTCATGGTTTATCGGAAAAGGGTCAGAGTCTGGTAGTGGGGGTATACTGGGTTGACGAGAAGATGCTTCAGGGACGATGAGATCCGACTGAGGAATAGTACTGCTGTTCAAGTTGCGAGCAGATGCACGCTGAGCCCTTCCATTCGCGGTTCTGTTTGAGGGATAAGCGGGCAGCGACGTGGCAAATTTTGGAGGGGGACGAGGGTGGATCATTTTTACAGCACAACAGCAGAGATGATTAGTGTCGGAGCCGGGTGGAATACGATGACTTACCCTTTGTCGACCCTAGCACGTTTGCGTCGTTGCCCTTCAGCATCTGTGGCGCTGAGGGCAGTGGAACCCATTAATCCAGAGTAAGTGGAGCCCGGATCAGATGCTGGCAGATATGACACAAAAGCTCCTGGTTTCTTTGGGTCGCGCTTGTGCGCAGCCTGCTGAACAGACAGCAGGGAAGGTGGACCTGGTAAAATTTCAGTTGAAAGAGACGGATCTGAAAGACCCTCGAGATGAGGCGGTTGCACCACCGGCACTCCAGGTAACATGTACACCGGAACATCCGCCATGGAAGTCATGGTTGAAAAGTGAAGAGAAGTTCGGGTTACAGGAGTCCGTCACTGGTTCCGCCTCTCAAAGTGGATTCGAAAGGAGCAGTTAAGGTAATGAGGGGCAACGGTTGCAGCACTCGTCGAGGGTGCTGTGGCAATAGTGGCAAGCGAGATGTGGGACGACGACATCAACATCGCATTCAACCACAATTTTTCACGAAACTACAGTACAACGTTTGTCCGTTGATACAACTACTACTCATTTTCACAACGTTCACTCATTCAGGTGTGCTTCTTTGGCTTCCTGTACCCAACATGGCTCCAGATAAAACTAAACGAGAAAATGTTTCAGAAAAACAAGACAGGGAGCCTGCTCCGATGTCCTCATAGTATCAGTACATCGTGGATACGTGATGTAAGTCGTTCTGGACGAACCCATCGATAATGACCCTGGCGCAGGAGGAAAATTAGCCCGCCTCCTCCGAAGTTCATTGCGTGGGATAAATAAGCAAACAGGAACTACCGGGAGCATAACTGCATGAAACGAAAAATGTTCCTATTCAAAAATGGTAAATGAATGCTAGAAGGAATGACGAACTGTGTATAAGAAGTAGACCTCATCTATACGATGGAGCCTTGCTTATCTTGCTGATCTTCAGCGTCAACCTTGCTGGGAATGTCGCTATGGACGGTAGCGCGCCGCTTGGCCGGTTTTCCATGCATTTTCTTATCTCTCGCGGCATATTTTCTATGCGCACGGGAGCGTCGGTGGGCTTCCCACTGAGAGCCATCTTCGACCATGAAAGGCTGCGACGGATCAAGGGTACATGCAGGGCATACGACCTTCTTACGCGCCCGCAATACTTCTGTAGGACTACCGAGTTGTTGGGTAAGATAACAAGAATGCTAGAATGTGATGGACATACCTCGTGGGCTTGACGTCGATCGTTAACATCTCTCGTGCCCTTTCAGACAACGATAGAGGATCGAGTAATGTCTCATTGCCAAGGAAAGCTGTCAGAATCCATCAGTGCAAGCGCGAAGTAAATAGAGAGTATGTACCTTCCATAATACGTTCACCTTGGTTGAGAACACAAGATTTCCACTGGTCGCCGAGTTCTGTATGGAATAAATCACACCGCCTCGAATCTGAAATGCAAAAACAGTCAACTCACCAGTGGCATCTAAAAGGTAAACTGGGAGGAGGGCTGTTGCATGATCTGTACCGCCATTTGCGCTATAGATAGCAGGAAGAAGCTTGTTCTTTAACCACCGTATCTGACGCTTCGCATATTGCCTTGTTCCGTACTTCATTTGCTCCACAGCGGACGCAAAAAGCTTCTCGGAGGGCTCTGGAGAAGTGAAATAATCATGAAACTCTTTATATCCTAGGTATCATGAGTTGGGTGTTTTTTTGCAGAACACAGGCAACAAAATTCACCAATAGACTGGTAGATGCCGACAGTATAATCAGTCTGTTGCACAGCTGATTCTTCGGATGGCTCTGTGACGACTGCATCAAGCGAACTACTTGTGGAGGAGGAAGCGATCGCCCGGAGTGCTTTGATTTCATCCAATAGCCCTTCCTGGACGAGCCTTTTAGTATGCAGTCAATCGATTAAGACCTTCTTAACCTTGATCATATTATCTACCCTTGCATCCAAGCGCTCATTCAAGATAGAAGGTTCGGCATAGAGCCAGAAACACAGTGTTCGGTACCTGTTATTGATTCGGTGAAAATACTCCACCGCTGATAGGGAGATTCAAACCTTGGAACCAACGCTATTTTAGACTGCTCGAGAATAATTTCGCTTGGGGCCTTCCCAGTATCTTTAATTACACGAAGGCTTCCCATGACTTTGCGTGTATCTCTCCAATGCCATCGCTGTGCGACTGGTTCGTCAAGCGCAGTAAGAAGTTTGTGCAATAACAATGCATCCTCAGGGTGAGATGCTGCAGATGGGGTCTGCTCTGGAAGAGCATTGAATAGCTCAAGGAGGTCGGGGGGTAAATTGGCGATGGACTGTGCAACGGAATCCGATAAAGATTGCGCTGCTGTGGGCAACCGATTCGGAAATATGAGATGTTGGATCCAATAGGATGTGCCGCCAACAATAATCGGAATCTTATCCATACGATGCGTCTCGTCAATCTACAATTAAGTTGGAAGCAAAGCGACAGGGAAGATAAGTAAAGTATTTACCGCCTTGATAGCGTCTTTGATCCATTGGCCCACTACGTACTGCTCCCCAGGCTGCTTGAAGTCCATGAGAAGATGCTCGACCCCCATTCTTTCTGCGATTGGGACTTTGTTCGTGATTACGTCCATTCCGGTGTATACTTGCATGGAGTCAGCGTTGATGATTCTCGCGCCTTTCCACCCATGTGTTCCTTGAGCAAGCTTCAGAGCCAGCTCAATGGCCAGATTGGACTTTCCAACGCCCGTAGTCCCGCAGACCGTGATGATTGGCTTGAGAGTTGACATGTCTGAGACAGAAGTAAAAGATAGATATTTCCACCGTCGAAGGCTGTTATCTACAACGTTTCAGTTGGATATAAATTGTGAGGTCAGCTTACGTGGCAAAGCTCGCTACGATCATTTTTCTAATGTCGTTGGCAGAACTACGGAGTTTAGCCATCCGGCCTGGCGAAACTGGTCGTGCCTGATCAACGGCAGCACTAGGAGAACCTGGCAAAGTTCCAGGGTAGAGTCCGAGACTCGCAGTGATGTAATTGAGAACTGATAAGACACGTTGAATTCAGTCTGAATTTGATAGAACATAGAGATCGACGTCCCTGACTCAGTGAGATGGTGCATGCTGGAGGACGCTTCCTCGGGCCCAAGCGTCTGGGATGAGTTGAGATCAGCTCAATTTGTCACCACCAGAAATGCAAACAATCATTAATCACCTGTGAACTAGTTGACAATGAGTTCCCTTACTAGGTGGACTGATGATCTTTCTACCAGTTGGGCGTGTAGTATGTGGTGCGTTTGCAGAAAACGGCACGTAACGCACGTTTGCTGCAGACAGAACCCTCTCCCGCTTATATGAGGCAGTCGGGAAAAGTCAAAATGGTGTTAGCACTGGGCAGTCCCTTATAAAATTTGATTTCGTTTGGGAGCTGAGTTTGACAGGAACAATGGGACGAACTTTGCGTCTAGCTATGTAATCGTGGGAGTCGGTGAATTTTGAAGTGACAACTCACTACTTACACATCTACTTTTAGCGCACATGTCGTCTGTGTTCCGCTCAAAGACGGCTCGAATAACACTTTCGAATCTTTCACCAGGACCAAACTCACAGCACGCGGTTGGCATTGTCATCGTTTCTGATGCAACAATTTCTAATACTTTATTTGGCAGCAAAAACGCCTTGGTAGAGGTCAAGGGTCTGGTCGCGGAGGAACGTCCGGACGAGGTCACAAGGGCCAAAAGGCTCGCGCAGGTAATGGCAAACCAAAAGCTGGATTCGAGGGTGGTCAGACACCGATTACGAAGAGGTTCCCAAAGAAGGGCTTTGTAAATCCGTCAGTGCTCTCTTCTAGCTAGTTTCATAACCATCTGACAGGTCCGTCAAGCAACCGGAAGGTGTACGCGCCTGTCAATCTGGACCGCATACAGTATTGGATTGACCAAGGTCGACTACAGTCATCGCCTGAGAACCCCATTACAGCCCGCGAATTGCTCTTGAGCGGATGCATTCATAATGTACACGATGGAATCAAACTTCTGGGCGACGTATGTTTCTACTCTCGAGCATCCTTCTAGTATAACTCATTTTCATCTAGAATGCTCCATATTTGAAAACGCCTATTCACATTACACCTTCTCGTGCATCTCAAAGTGCCATCAAAGCGGTCGAGTCCATTGGAGGAAGTGTCTTCTGCCAATACTACAACCCATTGGCTCTTCGTGATTGTGTCAAGAGCCGTGAAGATCGTATTTCAGCAGCACCAACTCGTCGCACGGACATTCGTGAGCCTCTCCCTCCCTCGACTTTGATTATTTCTGAAAATCACGTCTTCAAGTGTGGTACACTAACTGGCACAACCGAGGATATCTTTCTCCTGAAGCTATTGCGAAAAACCCAAAAGTGGAGGAGCGATGGAAGGAACTGTCTAAACAGTTACTTTCTTTCAAGGATCAGACTTTCGATACTAAGGGCATCAAAAAGATGTAGACGTGCTAGGTAGATTATAATACATTCATGGGCTCAATGTTCATCCTATCCGAAGATATACTTCCGCTGCGAGAACGGCCGGGCGAACGAGATAGGGAACGAGAGGGACTCCGCGATACGTACCGACCGTTCTCTGATGGAGATCGACTTCTGCTTCTACTAGCGCTGGAGCTCCGTGACCGGTATGGGCTCTTACTGGGGCTCCTACTTCGGCTGGAGTTACGACTCCTGTCACTACCATGTTCACTTTTGCCCTCCATAGCATCGAGCAAGCGACTCTTCCGAGGGCCAATCTCGCCATTCTCTTCAAGTATCGAACGCTTGGCTATACGGGGAAGAATAATGTCACAGGCTCGTTCTTCAGTGAGAAGCGAATGTGCGAATTCGTCAAAATGAATTAGTGAATACCCTGCTGTCGGGTTGTAAGACGTGTACCAACGAAAAAAAAAGAAGATCAACACACCTGTGTCACGGTATCGGAGCTTTCTGTAGTCCTTCATTAATGGTTCAAGAAGCTCATACACCTCCACTGCACTGAAGGTCATTCGTATGTACATGGCGGCTAATGCCCTCATATATCTAAGTATCTGCATCAGCAATCAGCGGGCGACACATGATAATGCTCACTTGAACTCGTCTGCTTGTAGATATTCTATCAATATCTCCTTTTCCGGTTGAAGCTGAAGTAATTTCAGGAGCAAGCACAGGAACTCTGTAGGGCGCTGATTGCCATAAACACCCCCAATGTACCTAAGCGCGATTGCTTGGTCAATAAGAGACTCCGCTATATTGAAAAAGGGTGAACCGAATGTCTTAGAAAACGCGGCAGACGCACCAGTCAAAGCGAAGCAATGCTCCTTCCAATAATTCGATTCCCATATTCGATTGCGGATAACAGTCTCGACTAGAAACTATACACTTTTCAGCTAATCATCAAAACGTGTATCGCAAATATTCGCCTGAGGGTTCTGGCCATGGATTGCAATTGCACCCTTGACGGTGGTGTTGGCCATGATGGTGGTCGCTTGCCAGAGTATGTAACGACTTCCGGGTTCACGGAGTCTAACTTGAAGTGCCAAAGTTTAGTGCAAAAAAGGAGAATAGACCTTTAAGAGCCTTTACGTAATGGTGTTGTCAGTTGGATACTTTTTCCTATTCACCTTATGTCTTTCGTAGTATGTCTTCCGCGTGCCCAACGATCAATCGGTTACTACTATGACAATATCTGCAGGGCTTGGTATTCGATATTCAATGATCCGGTGGCCATTGGAAGGATAGCCGTATACTTTATTCCGTCCTGGCGGCTGGCCCCACAACACGAGGGACCAAGGTCCCTGGTGTAATCAGTGATCATAGTGAATTCAAGTTGTATCATGCTTATTTCCCGCTTAAAACGCCGCGAATAAGGGCAACGCTTATCTAGATGGTGTTGAACGTTGTCCACCCCCACACAAACATAGCATTGCCAGAATGGTGTTTTACTCTTCAAACTCGTTCTGATCGAATACCATTCCTACCGCTTGCTATGTACCAGCAATATGGCATCTCAAACTCTCCTGTTCGACCGCACCTTCACCCAATCACTGGCTACTGCCATTTTCTACCAGTTTCTGGATCAGAAATTTCATCAATTGTGTCACAGCTACCCTCATCTGTACGCCTGTCAATCTCCGTTTGTGATCTAGAAGGTCCTGACCATTGAACTTTGCAAGTCACTTCGTGGTTGACAGTATAGACTCCTCCAGCGACAGTGCCATCTTTGTGTATAAATTGACGAATATTCAGTCTCCTTTAATTTCTATACTCCTTGCCTGACTGCAAACATGCGCGACAAACTGCTGACCATCCCCACGATAGCATGTCCCAGAGAGTCATCGTGCTCGATGGGTTTCTCCCACTCGACTGGTGGCGCTGAGCCCCCTCTCAATAAATCGGATGAAACAAGGCAAACTTTAAACTAGTCAGTCAATTTTACCCGGTCCGCTACTGTTCTTACAAGTTTTTATTTTTTAGCGCGAACTTCGAAATTGCCACTGCCCTTATAACTCCAGCACAATATCGTCGAATTATAGTTGCGCCAGTGTATAATGGTATTTTCTTGTAAGCTGCCCTATCTGACGGCGTCCAATCACCAGGCACGGAAGAACTTGTAATACAAGCTATGCGCGCTGCGGTCGTTCTGCTGTGAGTTTCATCGCTTGTATTCGCTATGCCACGACCTACGCTTCTGCTATGATGTAGGAATCCCACAGCCGAAGGGCGTCGCAAGTCGCGCGAGAACAAGCTCTTGCGGATCCTTCCACCCCGCGATCATTGCACCCCGTTGCTCGACAGGGTATCTCGAGGCCGTCGGCTAATTCAACGTTTCATCTTATGGATATACCAGTCGGTGTGTCGACATCGGTGCCACGAGATCGCTGCGGGTGGTCACAGGCAACTGACCTCTGCAATGATATTGTGTCTGCTAATACCCTCGTCGTTCATATGCGGAAGCATGTTGGAGGATTCTCGCATCGTCGCATTTACTGCTCCTGGAACGGATGCGGCAAGCTCATGAGGAGAGATTGTCTTGTCCGCCACATACGCGAAATTCATCTGCATAGCAAACGCCGTGCTCATAACTAAACTTTCTCTATTGCTCGACTTACCCGTTTGTGTCTCAAAATCTTCGCTGATATATCCTGTTCACTGCGTAGATAAGGACTTTCAGTAATATTTACCGGTATACCCCGACAGCTGCGCCACAATATTTGGTTTCCTAATGCGGTTGTGCGGCCCGTTTCGTAAGCGTCAATAGAACTTCTTTTCCATGCTTCGCAATCGAAGTTTTACCTTCGAAATTAAAGCGAATAACCTTCTGTCCCGTACCGAGTTGGTTAATGCATTTACCACCACCGGGGCTCATATCTCAGACTGCTCACGGCCGACGAAACACTACACGCACACAATTATCTGTTGCCATGGATGGTTTTAGCGTCTCCACTTTGCATGCCGAACCGATACCATGTGCCCCAGCACCACCTTAAAAATGGTTCAGTCAGCCCATTAATGTGCACCGTCATCCATCATAGCACACACCACCATTGATTCCCTGGAGCCGAGGCCTGAGGCCTGAGCCCTCACTTGATTCATATAAAAGCTTGCATTTCATGTATTTGTCGGTGTTACTCGCTAAACCCTCAGCTTACCATGCATTCTGCTCATGCAATGGTCTCTGAGGAAGGTACCGGACATGTACAAAATTCTCCTCACATCGCAGTTGAAGTTGGAATCCCAGTCGTTGCTTTCTACAACGAAATCAAGACAGACATCGAACACGTCACTGTGGAAGATGATCCTTTGAAATGGAGCAATGCGCACAAGGTAGGTGGCAGTCATTCACACTGAAAAACAGGCTGACTTGTCGGTCATAGACTGCCATTCTAATTATTGTTTCGGCTGGCTCCATGATTGCAGGGTTAGCTGTCAGCATACAGAATCGTATGGTTATTCCTTCCCCAGGTGGTCAGAAGACTGAAACAACTTGCGCCCAGCTGCAAATGCCCAAATTCAGAATGACTTACAAGCGTCTACATCGGAAATAAGTTGGACATTATCAATTTTTATTCTTGTTCAGGGACTCCCTGGGCTTATATGGAGCGCCATCAGTGAAATCAAAGGACGTAAGGTTCGTCGAGCGCTCTGTCTCGTAACAATAAACTGCTGATATTCTTCCATCTAAGTTTGTCTATATATCATCTGTAGCATTGTTTCTGGTCGCCTCCGCTATGGTCGCATCATCCAAAACTATTGGTCTGGTGATTGGAATGAGAGCCCTTCAAGCCATCGGGTAAGCAAGTTACATTGACTCTCAGAGCCACTGCTTACAATAATCAGCTCGAGCGCACTCATGTCAATTGCCGCAGCCACACTAGCAGATATCTACGAACCCCATGAGCGAGGCACTAAAATGGGGATATACTATTCTGCTCCTCTTTTGGGGCCCGCGTTGGGCCCGATATTGGGTGGCGTGCTGACGCAAAGCTTGGGCTGGCGCTCGGTCTTCTGGTTCATCACTATTTGCGCCGGAGTTGTTCTCCTTGCTCTGATTTTCATATTCAAAGATACGTTCAGGAAGGAACGTAGTCTGACGTATCAAAACATTCTGCAAATACGGGCAAAGGAAGGGGAGCTACAACACCAACACTTGGACAAAGCTAGTCACGCCTTTTCTGTCACTGACAAGCCCGCACAACACACGCCAGAAGATATAGCCTCTCCGCAGCATATAGGGGAGGCGAATAGTCACACCGTTGCACATGCTTCAAGTATGGAAGATGTCGATGTGTCGCTCGCAGATGTCAATCCCTTCCCTCCACTTCGGAAAATTCTTACACGCGTAAATAATCTCGTAATATTGTTTGCTTCCGGTAAGTATCTTCCGAATCATCATGCGCATTACCCGACGAGCCATATATATGTCTAGGTTTGATATTCGCTTTCAGCTACAGCATTTCATATACCTGTTCGAGAACGTTGTCCGAATACTATGGCTACAACGCTCTCCAGATCGGTCTAGTTCTACTTTCGTCTGGAACAGGTAGGATCTTATTTGTTGGATTGACAATGATTGACTAGCACCGAAGGCTCTATATGTGGGTCCTTACTTGGCGGCCGCTGGTCTGACCGAACAATTGCTAAGTTGAAGCAAGAGAATGGAGGCAGCAGCTACCCCGAGGTTGATAATGTTCATATGGCTAAGCCTATGCGACAGGCATCCTAATATAACAATTCAGATGCGATTGGCCAGCACCCGACCCGCAATGGGATTTTTGCCACCGGCTATAATTGGATATGCATGGGTTTGCGAAAAGCACGTTCATGTCGCAGCAATTTGCCTTATGCTCTATCTCGCTGGATTCCTCTCGACGTACGCTTATATAAATTTTGCAAGAAGTTGACTGACGTATTTTTTATTTGTTATTTTTCTAGATGGATCTACGCAAGCACGCTAGCATACATTGTAGATGCTAACCCCGGCCGTTCGTCAACGATTGTTGCCACAAATAGCGTGTTTCGATGTGTCTTTGCGTTCGTTGCCATCGAAGTGGCTATTCCGATTCAGGTGTGTCCGATCTTATTTAGCTGAATTGTATGCAGTTGTTTGAGCTTTGTTGTTAGGTTGCCATTGGCGACGGTGGTTTGTACACCATTTGGGGCGGCATTATGATAATAATGGAAGTCCTGACACTAAGTGTCTTTTACAAGGGCAAGAAATGGCGAGAGGCATGCGAGGAGAAAGATGGGCGAGGATCACAATAACCTTGATAAGTACGCTCAAAGTGCCTTTGACACTGTCACTGGAAAACGTTACATCAAAGACCCGATGTTTATATCTATATAATATTAGGGCCGTTTCTTGAGAAATTGCCAACTGTTGTGCTCGTTTAAGTACTCCAATCATTAAAATCCGTAACCTGCCGGCTTCTGAGCTGCATGTTACAGATCACGTGAGGTGCCACAACGCTATGCAGCATGGGAGCCGAACGTTGTCCACGGTTGCGAACAGATAGACAGTTCGTGTTCTCCACTAATACGTATGCACGTCACAATCTCAAATCAGACACAGGATGATTTACATTGTACCCTCAGAGGCACGGCACAGGAAGACCACGTTCTCCTCGTCCGAGCCCATTCCAAGAGCGTATCATTCTCCCGAAAATGCTCTCTTCTCAATGTGTCTCGACATAAATGGGATAATGTGACGAAGGAACACGAGGCGAGTCCTATAAGCCCTGTCTCTGTCACTGTACGTCTCGATGTCGGCGCTGCAGCGAAGTGGAAGCTTGTCAAAGTCCCAGCAGATTCAGAATGGGTAGTGTATCGCCATAAGGTGGGATAATAGTGCAGAAAATACTGGCCCGCCTGAATCCATATGATTTCAGTTGTCTCGCAAACATTATTGTTTGCTTATTTTCCCTCGACGCGATACATCCTGTTTCTTGTCTCTCATTCCCGATACTGTCCCTCTATTATCTTTAACGCTTCCAGGTAAAATTGCTATACGTGTTCTCAGTCTCACCTGACCAAACACATTAGGAACTCATGACACGTATGTCTTGACTTGTATGTGCGAGCGAATGCTGCTATGACGATGATGATAGAATGGCTTTCTATGGATGGCCTATCGCCCAGTGCCAATCACCGAGCACCTCTCTTGAGAGACAACTTCACGCTGGCATTCGAGTTCTCGACATACGCTTGGCAATCGTTGATTCCCACCTCATTTCATACCATGGAATATACCCGGAACGTACCTTGTTTTCGGAAATCTTATCAACGGTATACACGTTCCTCACAACGCCCGAGACCTTGCGCGAGACCATAGTAATGTCAATCAAGCAGGAGGATTCTGATACGGAACGTTTCAGCAAGCTTGTACACCAAGAGATTGTTGCCTCCCCAGGGGGCTTGGGCATGTGGTATTTGGAAAATCGACTACCAACCCTGGGTGAGGTAAGAGGCAAGGTTGTAATGTTCAGCCGTTTCGGCACAGATGGTCACGGCTGGGACAATGCAGCTATTGGAATCCATCCGTCTATCTGGCCTGACAATGACAGACATGGCTTCACTTGGAACTGTCAGGACGTCCTGGTCCAGACACACGACTGGTATGTATGAGAATTCTCGGATCGCCTGGCTAATCATGAGCTTGACTATCACCACAGGTACACAATCCCTTCCTTCCTCTCTATTCCCGAGAAAGTTGCTCTTTCGACCGATATCCTCGTCGCTTCTCGTGATTCTTCTCCCCCGACCCTATCAATATCCTTTCTTTCTGCATTGTCATTACCATTGGCGTTCCCTCCCGTATTCGCCCGCGGCCTCGGATGGCCGCAATGGGGAATTGGATTTGAAGGCGTCAATGCTCGAGTCGGCAAATGGCTCATTGATCAGTTCGACGAACGGGGAGAGAATGCCGTGAACACTGAACCGCGGATCAGGGGTTGGGTCCTCATGGATTTCTATGAAGACCCGACAGGACAAAGTATTGTCCCGTTACTTGTAGAATGTAATTTCAGAGGGAGAAAGTGCGAGGAAGGTTGGGCGCGAAACGCGGGAGTATAGGACCTCTGCATGAAGAAACATAACTATATGCCTTGAGATATCATGAAATCTATGGTTTACCTCTTAGTCACTTCTATACGCTATTGACTAGTCAATTTGCAGTGCTCGACTATGGCGGTACCGATAAGCTCTGCTAGGATCATCATGGGCTGGTGGATTTCACGTTTTCAACGTGTTCACCTCGAGCCAGCTGGCAACCTCGAAGCTGTGCGACTAGCCCTCGAATATGGATAGAGTCAACGTTGACATGAACGACGGTAATTGTCACGGTGATTTGGTGATCTTCTACACAACTTTGTGGTGGCTAGCACTAGTTACTGATCAGACCTTGAACGAAACTATTTGTCGGCAAGCTTAAGCTTGTGATGAGTCTCTAAGTGGTCAGATCATGACTGCATGACTCCCAAAAGCATGGGGACCGAAAAAAAAAAGTATTTTATGTAACAAATCGCTCGTTGCAGGTTCGCACTAACGACCACCGGGTCGCCTCGTTGTGCCCTATAGCGCCCACGCCGTCAGGACTCGGGTAGCCGATTATGATCTAGGGTGCGACGTGAGCAGTACCCGCAGGTGCAGGTGAATTATGGGTCGGGTGGTATGGGTACGGATATGAGCCTGACCGACTGGGTAGTACGCTTAGCAGCGTGGCAGTGCTACGTCATTTAATAATAGATTACCGATGCGATTGTCTCTAGTGTTTTCAGATTAATTATGCTGCCTACCGTCTCCAGTGTCCACGTAGCAGCTAGGGACAGAATGGGTAGCAATTGGAAACTACATACAGCTTCCTGTGACCAAATTCTTCAGGCTTATTGGCTAAATCTGGGCTTACACGGTAGTGTAGGCCCAGAGGCTGGGGCTCTCATGTACATATGATGTGTATGAAATGATAATTAATGACAATGTCGCCTCGTCCCATTCGCCCTCGTCATTAATATTAACTTGAACCACCTCAGTTGGACATCTTTCTGATTCTTTCGTTATGATATTCGCCCCGATCCAAGTCGAGAGCATTTCCCTCCAGCGCTTCAACTTCGCCGATAGGCTCTGAAGACTGAATGTCCGAGTCTTCGGTCCTTTTCAACTCCCCAAGAGCCGCAAATTCAGCGGCAATGTCGTCAGGCACGATACTCTCCGGACCTGCAAGAGTGTCACCTGGATCAGTTGGAAAGTTTTTCCACCATGCTTTAAGGGCCGTCTGCTCTGCCACTCCACAAGTCAGGTCTCAATTTAAATCCATCATGCTATTGTCGTAATCACATCTCCGCCGCAGGCAAGGCACAACTAGTTTTGCCGCCAGACCGGTGTTGGCAGGGACTCGAGTTTCTGCCGCAGCAGCAAGCGCCAACGGTGCGGTCAATTGAAATTCTGGTGTTAGTGCTAGCCGTGGCATTATGCGTTATGTAGTAGATGCATACCAGTTCTAAAACCAAAAATGAGGGCGACAATTAGACGGTGACGCGTTGACGGACTGCAAGTTGCAACTTTGGTGTGTAATGATCCGATTAGGTGGGTGTATTGTGAAGGTTTAAAAACGTTTAAATTTGTCTATATAGAATTCTCATGTCTAAAAAAAATATGCTAAGTGACTTCGAATTTTGCCGATCTGACCTAATACTGCCAGCAATAGCCGGAGCCACTTTTCTGTCATTCTGCCAACACCTTACGAAGGTTGGATGGCACAACTCATAAATCGTGAGACTTGCACACATCGCGAGTTGTAAGTTGTAACACACTGGCACATCGCTTCCCCGGTGTCTGACTGTGACACCCCCGACTCCTCGCCGGCCAAGGACACGCGCAGCGGTAAACGTACAGGCTATAGAGCCTCCCACCGAAAGACGTCGAACAAAAGCCGAGGCTAGTATCGTATAGGCGGAACTCTCTGCCACGTGGCAGGAACGCCATCTGCCTCGAGTCCGCTGTACGTACATTTATTTAAAGGCTCGTTGAAAGGTGCAGAACATGCATAATCCTTCCAACCCCAAATCTCTCGCTCGAACATCAAAAATCCTTCCAGAGCAGTCAATTATGGTTGCACCCTCTAATTCTTCAGCCGTGGCAGTTTATTGTGCTGCATCACTCGGGAAGCAGAATGCTTTTCAGCTAGCAGCGCTATGTATGTCTTCTTCATTCAATCTCGCGACTGCTCTCACGTGTTGTGTCGTATTTTAACAGCATTGGGCCATGCTCTGGCAGAGGCAAAACGACCCCTTGTCTATGGTGGTGGTAACATGGGCCTTATGGGCATTGTCTCAGGTGCCGTAATAGAAGAGGGCGGCCAAGTTACTGGCATTATCCCATATGCCATCCAAGCTGCAGGTGGCGAAAAAGACAAGGGCAATGGTGTTGTAAAGACTGAATCTGTTGCTGGAGTTCTCAATGAGGACCGGCGAAGACATGTACGCGATTCCGTCAGTGATGTCGACGCAGAACTGACTCACCAACGCGCACACTTTCCATAGATCGAGACTGTAAGTAATAATTCGCACGCACACACCACATTGTTTAATTGATTTCCGTTCTTCATTTCCATCTTTGTAATTCGTTTTTACATTAAGATCGTTGTTGACTCGATGCACGAGCGCAAGATCGAGATGGCGAAGCGTGCCGGTGCTTTTGTGGGGTTGCCAGGAGGATACGGCACTTTTGAAGAGGTACACGAGGCTTGTTCGCTCAACGTAATTCACACTCACCCTATCGTGCCCCTAGATTCTTGAAGTGATAGCTTGGAACCAAATCAACATTCATAACAAACGTAAACATATTTCATTGCCTCAGTGTCATTATGTTGGCCAACCAAAACCATATTCTGCAGCCGTAATATTGCTCAATGTTCTGTCCTACTACAGTCCTCTCCGTGATCTCATCCGGAATGGTGTACGAGAGGGGTTCATTCAGCCGCACAACGAGAAGTTATGTGTCTTCGTCGACGGACCCAAAGACCATAAAGACCATGAATCTTTCAACTGGGGGCAGGCCGCTATAGACGCAATTGCTGCATGGCAATATGACCAAATACGGTCATTGCCCTTCCACTGGACGAAGGACACTGATACCAGTGCAAAACCTAATGGCAAGTCCGACATCAAAGGCATGAGCGGAATGGTTGGTGGGTTATACGGCCTAAAAATGACCAACGCGTGGTTAAAGAGGGTCTGGCACGCTTGCTTCCGTTCATGTTGATCATGGCATAGGTTAGCAGACTCGCACGTATTCGTTATCATATTTACCACCCATTATATCTTCTAGGACTCCAGCATACATTCTTTACATCGAGATTCACTTTCTTGTAGAACAAGTATCACCGAGTGAGGTAGTTCCGAGGCAAGCCGTCTGTGATCGCTTGCCGAGGTTTTTTTTTGCCTGACGTCGGTAACATAATATTAATTATTTGTGCCCGATCATGATACTACCAAGTCCAGTGGAAGTCAGTTAGGCCTGTTAGCCGTGACCTGATCGTTTTTGCACTCAATAAGCGCTCAGCAGGGATATGCTCTATCGGTGGAGCAGAAATAAAGACTAAGTGTTATGTAACGTTAGGTTCAATCGAAGTTGGTCGAAACGTGACCTAGCTTGTTTCTCCAGCGCCTCCCAGGTCATTCACCAGGTTCGCGGCTCATAGGAATCTCAGGATTGTCATAGACGCCCATCCGATGGCCGTCAACACGAGTACTGGTTGTCATTGACCTGTTCAGCCCCCACACGTGCATAAAGCGGTGAGTGCTTTCCTGACAAGCGCTTGCTAACAGGAAGAGTTGGGCTCATACGAAGTCTTTACTCTTCCCGTCCGGCGTCAACGAGATGAGCTGGATTTTTTTACGTACCATTCTATACGCTATGCTAACGGATGTCAAACTATTGCACTCAGAGAACCCGTACACCGTACTATCGCCCGTAAAGTAACTGCGAGCGTCGTGCCGTGAGTATGGCTTGAATGTGTGAGGGAGAAAGGCGGACTTGATCGAGCGCCTTGCTGCTTCGGTGCCTCCAGGGTATGTTGGGTGTGTTTCTCCGCTTGTTTTCATTGTTCTCACTGATTTCGGCATTCCGTCCGCAGTACCATGCCTTTTACTACCACATCCACCGCCCTAGCAGCCAGTTCTCCATTCTCAGTGCTGCTCCCGGCTGCGAATCTCCGCGTGCCAGCAAGCCACGCGCTCACCTAGCCACAAATCTATCGTACAGGACTCGGAAATGATGTAGATCTGCTTGTGTCGCATGATGCAAGCCAGTCAGCCCGTTCTTCTAGGATGGTTACAACGGGAATGATGATGATAGAAGCATCGCAGACGACAACATGGACGATGATGTCACAAACACAGCCGGAAATGGTGAGGGTGACAAGGAACCGGTGATGCAGGCAAGCAGCGTGTGTATACTCTATCATTAATACTTGTTGATCATTTCTCGTATCACCGACGGGCCCGTGTTTGGTGGTCATCAATGAGACTAAGGCTCGGGTAAGTTGCATGATCTTCTGGGGTTCATGTTCTGGCTGATGACGGACAGCAAATAGAGAAGAGTGCCCTCAACATTTAGAAAGTGGTTTTCGGATTATCTTGTTTTCGGCTTCAATAATTGAACGGAATTACGCTGGTTGACTGCTGCAATCGGATCGGGCGAAGTCCCGGATATGATGATTGATGTAACACCACATTATCCAGTATTCGAAGTACACCTTCCCGCAAGCTCCCGTCACGACATGGTCGTGGACGGGATTCTGTGCACGAGTTCCTCTCTGCATTAAGCTTTGAGCCTCGTGTTGTGCTTGTGTTCACATCCTCTGGTATCACCTCAAGAACTCACTCAAGGAAACCATGGTGATGTTTGATCATATCCAATGCCGTCAGGTTGACGATGAACTATCTCTCGAGCATGCACGTCCTCCGTTCAGGCCACGTATCGTTGACTTTCTGAAGCATTGGTGGTTCAAGCGCAGCGCCTCCCTCTTGAGTATGCCCAAGGCATACTTTTGATATTTTTTGGGCTGATTTATATCCTATCCAGGCGCGAAGACTCCAACATCATCGAAAACGCACATATCTTTCCAGAAGACTTTGAACAAGTCAAATATATTAGTATTCATGCACCTCACACAGTGCAAGTTGGCCTTTCGAGTGTCGTCAGCCGGATCATTGACTTACGAGCTTGGAACCAACTCGACCTTCACAGGAGTTCATCAGGCCACATAATGAGAAGCCTCTGCGTATCTGTCGAGGGTCCTGCGGACGAGGAGAATCATGTATCCTTCAACTGGGGTAAGGCCACGGTGGATGTCATTGCTGCATGGCAGTATGGCCAGGTCCAGACGTATCCTTTTCACTGGACGAAGGCCAATAACACTAATACAATTCCCATCGCCAAAGCCTGACAGGACGATCAGGATGAGCTGTGCATCTTACAGCCTCAATGCACGGTTGGCGCGGGTCTGGATCGTGCTCAGACATCTCGTATATAGTCAGTAGGTGTAGTGGTCGCGATGATCATGAAACGGAATGGCAGACTCGTTTACACCGCAAAACCACGTATTTGCTAATATATCCCAGTGTTGTTGCAACATGTAGCACACACATTGTATTGTAGGGATGCTACTTCTTCGTACAACAATTTACTCGAGTCACGATGTCTGAAACCGCTTGCCGAAATTGGGGTCTATTTTCCTATTTGAGTCCATGAATGCGCTGACATCCTCATCTGTGATCCTGGCTTTCCGCTATATGCAAGGGTGAGTACACAATCCTGGAGGTCATAGGGGAGATACTGACCTCCTGGAAGGCCTTCACGAACTCCTGCAACATTTGAATGCAACGTGCTTTCAACTGTCCTGTAAGTAGACGCCCTGCTCTGTAATCCTGGTTACGGACATCAGCGACATGATCCGCAGACATTAACCGCAGCCACAGACCTCGCCTATCTTCGCAAGTTCCTCCTCATCGTCCAGGAAGAAGCCTAGATATTGATATGCAACATCCACATCCGTATCACCCCCAAGTCTCCTGTGCTCCTCCTCCGTCTCCCTGCCACCAGAGAAACCATGCTTATTGATCTTATTTTTGATCTGGTTCGGGGTATCGGTCATGAATATACTTGAGGTCGCATCCGACGCGCTCATCTTCGTCTGAGGTCCTTGAAGAGCAGGGAAGAAACGAGAGTGAATGAGACATGGTTTGGGGTACTTGAGTTTCTGAGCGACATCACGCGTAAGCCGGAAGTAGGGGTCCTGGTCTATCGCGCAGGGGATGAGGCAGGGGATATTAGAAACTTCGCCGAATATGTGAGGGAACGAGTTCGAGAAGGACGGAGCTGCTTGAACGGCACAGAAATGGATTTTGCCTATGTTATCCCTGTTGAAGAATATGATATGCTGGCCATCCTGGATGAAGGACGAATAAGACTTACGAGTCGTTGAAACCAAATGTGGCTTTTGATTGATTGTATGATATTTGCCTTGATATTTTGACGACATTGCGGTAAAAAGGTCCACCGACGTATTCGAAATCGCTAAAGATAAACGTCTTCTTGATATCAAATCCCACTGCGATGATGTCTTTTGCGTTGCTTTTCGAGAACTGTAGCGTCTGCTCAGCTTTTAGTTCGTGCTTGAATAAAAATTTCTCGTCATCTGTTCGTTGAATTAGCAAGTAATCAAATCGAGATGATGAGATACCTACCAGTTAGTTGGACAACCAGTGGGACATCAAAGACATCCTGCAACCATCTCCACAGATTGTCAGGCCAATGACGGACATGCTGCCCAAATAACTCACTTGGTAAAGAGGAATGGTATCATATGCCCGAGATGCATGCTATCGCTACTTGGCCCGCGTCCCGTGTACAAGAAGAAAGGTTTTCCCTGTTCATATCGATCCAAAATCTTGTCAAATTCTCTATGAAAGCGCAATGATGATATCAACCGAATTGCAAGGGACGTAGCAGTTAAGCTGTATTGCACTCACCGATGCGAGAAAAACATCCCCCGCCTCAGCAACGGATGCGGCTTATGCCCCGTCAATTTCTCGAACCGCTCCAGAAGTTCCGCATCAACTCTGCGCGTCCCGAATTGGATAATCAACTTGTCGTAGTCGATCGCAAGTTGCTTGCCGTCGGCGGAGACTGAGCCCTGCACATCCCAAGGCGTGACCAGTTGCTCGTGCGCCTCGGGAGGGATGGTAGTAGGTTGGGAGTTGGACATCTAACAAGGTATGGTTAAGCTCAACAAGCAGCAGATGCGAATGACTCGAGAAATCGAGATTATCGTAGATAACAGCTAGCTACCACGTGGTTATCTAATCGCTGAAAGAGCACGTGAACCAATCCAACTGAGGATCGTCGTCGGCGCCGCCTATGTACACTCTCCAGTCGCTCCTTTGCTTCGAGGCTCATCTCAGAGAGTAACTGCATCGCTATATGTCTTCTCATCAGGACCGCACTGCAGATTTCAGATAAGCGAGCCAATTTTAGGCTTGCTGCCTCGTGGACGAGCACGATTCGATGGCCTGGACTTGCATAGGCTTGCACCTGTGACGTTTTGCGGAAATATATCGCCATATATGCCAGTGTGAGTCGTGGTTACTTTCGATGATGGCGTTTTAAGTTGATGAGAATCTTGTCGCAGTAGTATACCGTACTCAATCTATTAGTTCCGGGGCGATGGGTGGGGAAATTGTAGCGTTGGACCAGATTTGCAGTTTAAACTTTGGATGAAAATTTTCATGCTTTCCACAATCAGGGTCGACAAACGTCACCACTAGTAATACTAGTAGCGCTATCGTTACGCAACCTGCCACAGATTCAGGGATGGAATGTCGCGCACCAAGCGGGGTTGCAAACTTGGAGTTAGCATGATAAATGCAGTTTTTCTGTCGTCTGGGATGCCGCCCCCTTTTTGGTATTTACCCCATGGCACTGGTGATTTCTTGGTCGACCTTCGTGACTCTGAGAGGTAATTTTTTGCATGGTATAAAAGCTTCACTGACCCTCCCACAGCCGTCTCGAGTGGGTTTATAGTTCTAGGGCTGGTATTGACGGTTTTTAGACTCGCCTATCGTATTTGGTTGGGCAGGTTCTGGGTCGAGGATGCTTGGGCAGGCGTCGCATTTCTATGCGGGGTAGCCGCGTTTACTTCTTGCTGGACTTACACTGAAGCAGGTAAAAGGAGTCCGCTTGTGCATATTGCCTATTCGTTGTTGAACTCTTGCCTGCAGTGGGTGAAGGAGGAATTATATCATTCTGGGTGTACTCGTTTACTTTCCCCTCCGTCGTGTGGTAAGTATCCTCGTGTTTAAATTTGCACTGTCGATTCTCAAGGGCAAGTAGGGCTGTCCGGCAAAGCATCTTATTCTCCATCGTTCGCATTGTTTACGCAACGCAGCACCTCCGTCGCCTGATGTTCTGTCTTGCTGGTCTCTTCCTCGGTTTGTGGGCAGGACTTGTCGCACAAAAAGCGTGGCATTATGGGTATAACACCTCTTGGTATCACACAACTGGAAAGGTGCATATCCTTATGACGCAACCAATGATCGTGTTCGAACTGATAAGTGCGACTTTCTTGTGGCTCTCACACGTCTTGAACTCACACGTCTTGTAAGCTGATTGCTTATCCGACGCAATACTGATTATTCTGCCATTGCGCTTACTCTGGAGTCTCAGACTGCCAAAAAGACAAAAAAGGATGATTCTCGCCATATTCTCCTCTAGCATCATCGTCACCATTATATCCATCTTCCGGGGAGTCTGTCAAATATCGAAATATATCACTGTTCTTGCCCTGACGACAGACTTCGAGGTACAGTCAATTTTTTTGTTTCTAGGGGTACTTTAATCTGAGTGTTGAACATACTAGGTAGCCCTGTCGCTTCTTGTTTGCAACCTCCTCGTCGTAGTTACTCTCCTGTACCGCATCATTAGTTCCGCGGGTGCGGACGACTCGATCTCTATCGATGACGATGATTACACGACACGAATTACTACGGGTGGGGTTTTCACTACTGTCGACTTGGACAATGCCGAGTCAGGAAGCGATGAGCAGAGAAGTTCGAGGATTCAATCTGCATTGCAAGGCGAGAAGACTGTCAATACTGTGTAACTAATGTTGAATTTAGTCTATCTTATTGTCGATACCCGAAAACTCATACGATGACCCGTGATTAAAGCATATCACTGTTTTCCCGTGACGTCATGGCGTTAGAATAGGCTGTCAACTATATATAGCTGCGGCGATCACCGGTCACCGGTGACATGGTCTTGACTCGGAGCCGCTGAGCAGTAGCAATCAATTGTTCCAACTGGAGTAACCTTTTTGTCAGATCCCGAACAAAGTTCACAGTCTGCGCTACCAATTTTATCGAAGAGATAAGTATACGGCAAGTCACATGTAATATCGTGCCGGTCGCTCTTCAAGACAAGTGACCTGGTGGGTTTTTTACTTTGTTTTTTTCCCTGAAAGTAGGGATCACATTCACTGTACTTGGCAGGTTTCCCAATCAACTATCCCTGAATTGACACGTACCCGTGCTGATTACAAACACCTACAATTTGGCCATTGGTTTCAAACGGCTCGTACGTGATTGGCTGGGAGAAACCCACTTACTCGCAAAACGACCGAGAATGCATCTCGGCGGAAAACACCCTCATGATTAACAGAATGAGAGCTATGTCACAAGTACGTATTGTACCTTGATTTCTAGTCGGACCAATAGATTCACCTTTGCCAAGTTGCCTGTGACCTTCTTGGCTCTATTGTGACCTTGCTGATCTTCCACGCTTTGCTACGTTACCTCAGGGTTTATGCTCGATTTAAGTCTCGAGTTGAGTTGCTAGGTCTTGCATTACTACTCAGTGTACATCGATACACTACTATGTCACCGACAGTGTGGAGAGGTAAAGTTGAATATTTCTACAGGCATTCTAGCCATTCAAACGATTTTCAGTCGTTTGCACTATCCTTCAGGTCTCGGGTGTTCTGATTACTATCCTGCGGCTCGGATATCGTGTATGGACACGCATGTTCTGGGTGGAGGACATGTGGGCTTTCGTAGCGCTTGTATGCGGGGTAGTGAGTGCAAGTTGTATTCGTGTTATATCGCAATGATGACGAACGTCGAAGACCTCATTAATTGCTGGATGGAAAATCTCCTATACTGGTAGGCAACGTGATTTCCCCACTGCTTGGTTAACACTTATCTTTACATAATAGATGGCGGCCACCACTCGGTAGCCATATGTTCCTGGGTGTACGGGTTGGCCTTTCCATCAGCTATCTGGTGCGCATCTTCCCGTGTTCATCGGTGTTACTCACTGAGCATATCATAAAACCAGGGCAGTCCGACAAAGTATTCTCTTTTCTGTGGCACGGATTTTCTGGTCTGCCAGGTCCTTGCGCTTACAGGTCATCGCAATAGCCCTCGTTTTTATGGTGCTGTATGGCGCTTTAGTGGCGCAGAGAGCTTTGCAATACGGCCACGATCTTGATCGGTACAATCGCCCCGACAAGAATGAGCGGAAACATGCGCATTTGACCCATCCCGTGACTATTTTTGAGTTGATAAGTAAATCATCTGGTCTGAACCACATCCTGACCACCGACGATAATATCAACAGCGGACTGCGTTTCTGATACAATCGTTGTAACATTCGCCTCGCATCTTCTATGGGGCATAAGGCTTCCCGCGAAGGAACGAATCGTGATACTGGCAGCACTGTCGACCAGTATCACTGTGATGATCTTCTCGATTTTCCGAGCTGTCTGCCAACTCAACCATTCCAGGAGAATCTGGAGAATCGCGACTGATCTTGAGGTATGAATTGCGCATCTTGTTAAGGTTGACTGCATACTAAAAATAATTAGCTCGCAGTTTCGCTCATTACATGCAACCTTCTGGTGGCTACAACCTATATCTATAGGGCTGTGACTCGTCGTAGACGTAGTGTCTCCGAATCAAAATCTGATTCGGACGTAGTGTTCTCCCAAAATAGCAGCCTTGACGGAAGAAGACAATTGACCACCATTGACCTAGCTGGTTACAGTGGGGATAGTCAGTCTGTGACTCAAGCAGAGCCATAGGATAGGGTTACTTGCATGCACTCCTGCTGGCAGGGCAGAGTTTAACGGCAATACGATATAATACATATCAGACAAGCAGTGACCTTCGGTTGTTCCTTTATTACAAAGGCAGACATTTGTACAATGTATTTGCACCAATTTCTCTTCGTTTCCTCTTGAAACTCGACGGCTTTTGACACGGGAACCAATGAGCAAAGGATCTGTTCTGAAATCGAGAACTGTGCGAGAGAGCGAAACCTTGGCAGCCTTTGAGAGTAGTCGCAAAGGCACCTGTTTGCATTTCACTGTCCAACAGGAGCAGTAAGGATGAGAATAAAACGTGATTCGTGGAATACAGTGGTTCTTGAGCAGTTGGATATCGACGAATCAACGATGTAGAGCTGTTATTCGTACTCGCGGTAGTTGCCAGCTAGTATTTATAATTTTATCGTTGAATTCGTCGCAAAATAGGTTTTGTGGAGAGAAGAAAGCACATTTGAGGCAAGCGCGAGCCCATTAGCCAGTATTGTGCGCCGGGAAAAGAAAAGCGAGAGCTTAGTCAATGTCTATTTCACAGCCACGATGAGAATAGGCAACGCACGATTGCCGTCACCAAGAGATTCTTTTGGTTCCTGTGAAGATATCATAGGCAAGGTGAGACGACAATGGGTAACAGGAGGACAGTGAATATTGTTTGCATATAGAGGTGTACCGTGAAGTCACGATCAGGTAGAACGATGTAACCGTTTTATTTCCAGTAGTTTTTGTTGTCGTATTGTCATGATACTAGATCCATTTTGGATAGGGACCGATTCATGAAGAGTATAGGTAGTCGCCATATAGCACTGGAACGAAAGAAAGAAAAAGGAGCAATGAGAAGTGGTAACAGCCTAACAGGATGCGAGCTTGCGTCAGTGTTGTACGGCGTAGATGGTATCTATGCATGGCTGATAGTGTCGTGAAACCAAATAGCAAAAGTCTGGGAGGGGACACAATTGACACCGAGCCGGCGGCTATTCGTGCTTATATATGTTAGACATACCTAATCAGACCACATAGATAGACTGATCAATCGATCATGTGATATTACGTCCGTACTGCCTGGACAAGCGTTGCAAGGCGCACACAGCTTGGATGAGAAATCACATGCATATTGCACACGGCGTACATTGCGGAAAAGTACTGATGCGCACATATACGACAAGGCATGTACACCTGTGATGAGATGCTACTGAGTAGGTATTTGGTAACATCCCGTATCCATTATGTCAAGATTGACACGGGTGGTCCGATTTGAGTCAAAGATGAGAACTTGAGTTGCAGTAAGAGGACGTAAAGGCTGTGCAAAGATGTAAGAGAAGATACACGCACTGCCTAGATTGTTAACATCAATCCCTGTAAGTCTGGAAGATGGGACATATACTAGCACTAGTCTCGTATCCCAAATCAAGACTGCACTGCTCAGCAGTACTGTGCTGCGCTGCCACGTACACCATCATGGTTACACGGGCGTGAGAACAATATTGCCTTTTCGGGTAGGGTTCTGGAATATTACACGCCACATACAATGGCCCACCGCCTGGTCGATGAGTATAACTTTGAAGTCGATTCCAAAGGTATCCTGCTCATTCAGAACAAAGCATAGTAAGGTGTTCGCACCAGTATCTACCTTGTGCATTCAAGGATTAAGGGAAAATACAAGGTAACGCACTCGGATCATAAGTGATGGATTTTATGATGGGAGAAAGAGGAAGAGAAACGTCCAAAGGAAATTACATCTGAGTCATAGTCGGAGTTTGAAATCGAAAGGTATATATAATAGCCTCGACCACGACCCTTCACGCAATTTTTCTCCCCGCCGAGATTTCCCACGAACTTAGAAGAACAAATTTTTGTTGTCTTTTCAATTGTCAAGAATGTCCTTCGCACTCCCCGCTCGCCAGGTTACCTTTGGCAGGTCTGCTGCGCCTTACCAGCAACCAAGTCAACCCTCTCAGCCCCAAGCTGCCCAACCTAATCATGGTCTAGCATTACCCGGCGCTGGTGCTTATAGTCTTCCTGCGCCATCGAATCTCGCGCTTCCGGGACCATCGCCACTGTCTCAATCACATACTCCTCCTCCTTCACAGTCACAGCCTGCAAATGCAACAACGGTAATTAGCAATGGCACAACATCAGTGGCTGTGGCAGGTCCTTCGACACCACCGGTCAATGCTGTTCCCGCCACTCCGGCCCCTCTCACACTTGAGCAACAACACATTACAGCTGTGGAGGGCATCGTGCCCACGCTGCAAAACATTGTTGCAACAGTTAACCTCGATTGTCGTCTTGACCTCAAGACCATTGCACTGCACGCCCGGAATGCAGAGTATAACCCCAAGGTTGGTACTACTGTTTGACTACCTGTCGTTGCACGCCAATGCGCTTTGCACGATAGCGTTTTGCAGCTGTTATCATGCGAATTCGTGATCCCAAGACAACGGCTCTTATCTTCGCCTCGGGCAAGATGGTCGTCACGGGTGCGAAGAGCGAAGACGATTCGAGGCTGGCGTCGCGCAAGTACGCACGTATCGTGCAAAAGCTTGGCTTTGACGCCAAGTTCGCTGAATTCAAGATTCAAAATATAGTCGGAAGTTGTGACGTGAAATTTCCCATCCGCTTGGAGGGTCTTGCGTATAGCCACGGACAGTTCAGCAGTTATGAGCCTGAGGTATGTAAGCGCAATGCGAGAATTTCATTTGCTTACGCGCTTTTAGTTGTTCCCTGGTCTCATCTATCGCATGCTCAAGCCGAAGGTCGTGTTATTGATCTTCGTGTCGGGAAAGATAGTGTTAACTGGTGCAAAGGTGAAGACCTTTGTTATATCTTCTCTCGTCAGTGATTCTTGGATTGTTCCAAGATGAGACCGACGTGTTGGTGGATCTGGTTCGAACCCTCCGCTGACACTTGTTGTTCTTCTCCTTTCCGCTAGGTCAGGGAAGAGATTTATACCGCGTTCAACACCATCTACACAGTGCTGTGCGAGTTCAGGAAACCCTGATGTTGTCTCCACTCGGGGCTTCATTATCTTCCTGCCTTTCATCACACTGCGGCTCGCACTGCACCGCTTGTCGATAGGGCCGCCCTGATTCTCGACGACTCTTTTCGATGACGGTAGTGGGCGAGGCCTATTATAAAAATATTTTTACATGAGGGTCGAAAGGCCGGGGAGCAGACGTAGTGCACGGATATTCCTCCTCCTCCCTCTTCACTGATAATCATTTTCGCCGCCTTTCTCCTCAATTTTAATAGCAAATGGAACATCCACGTCAAGGCAATTCATGTCTTGAACGCTTTATTCGTTTTAGTAGAACATATGTTACGATATGCGCGTAGTCTGGGTTACAATGTATTACTGCCCACTTATACCATCGTTGAGCTTGAGCACCCCTTTAAGAACTTCAACCGAGTTGATAACGCTTTTGCTGATTCGGCCATAGATATACAAGCAAACTACAGTACAAGTTGCAACTCATAAGTAAAGACACCAGCGCTAGCCATGCAGGAAAGTGTTCATAACAGAAAGTACATTAGGAAATCCTACGTCAATGTCAAAAAGGGCATTCAATACTCATATGGGTTCACGTCCGTTCTCTTCGAATCGCTTTCAAGGACATTTCAATTTTCACCGCCAACAAGTGGTGCACGCTCTTCGTCCAAAAGGATTGAGCCACTGGCACTCCTGTACCGCTTGTACGTGCCAAAAGTACCGACGAAAACCCAGAATGCAGATAGCAATGCAAACGCGAGTGCAGACCAGTGAATGAATCCCGAGCGGTGAACATTTTGATGAGCAAAGATCGCGAACATGGACCACGTTATCGCGAAGCTGGCAGGAAGGTCACCCTCGGGGCTGGAGAAAGCATATGTGGCCGCAGTCGCCTCGAGGAAGAACCTGTACGACATTAGAATCCTGATGTATCACGAGAAGAACCTTATTGACGTACAGAGCCAGGAATGCGAAAACCTTAGTCCAAACACCGGCTGGTTCATAAATCGCGTTGACGCCGAATGCTTGGAACGCAGTGATAACAACAAGAACGGTAGTCCACCCATGGTAAAGGGAGAAAGGCAAGTGGACCAATATTTCGTCGCCGATGTTAGCAGGTGCGTGGAACTTCTTCACCGTGTAGTAGATGTGCTAATATGAAAGATGTGATGCGCTGAATACCATAAAGGGAGCGAAGAGACTTACGGAGATAGCACTGCTTACGAACAAAGCAAAGACGAATGCGAATATATAGTGTTGGGATGCCCATAAATGTACGTATATCGCATTCAGGATGCCGAGGAGAGGGAAGCGCCACGAAATGCCATCGATTATTACTTTCTTGCCAGGGGCGGTGAACTGGTAGATGATAGTACCCAGAAGAAGCAAGTGGATGAGAGACCTGAGAGTACCATAAGTATTGGTTGTTAGGGCGGACAGTAAACAGCATACCAGATCAAAAAGGCCCATGGAGCAGGTGTTATGTATGTATCCCTGCCAGCGAAGTAGATATCATGAGGTGTCGCTACAGTGTAGACGTTGGAACCAAGGAAGAGGAAGTAAACGATGATGTTTGCAATCTAGTTGTTGAGACAGGTGAGTCCGACACGATCAGGCTAAATCTTGAGAGACCACAAGCCTTGAGCAAGATATCATCTGTCCAACTGCCTGACATGTTAATTCTCTGATACTCTTTGTGAATGTTGTGGTTTGCTTTACGAGGATGAAGTTACGGAGCAAGAGGGGTTTTGCTTATATACGCACTGTGACCCCGCGCAGTCTGACGACATGTCCTCGTCATGCAAGGTCATGCGCCACATTTCCATCAACATGTGCCACATCAACGCCATCGCGGACCTTTTCTTGGTAGCGCTTGGCACATTTTGTTTTCAGCTGGCGAACATAGTTGGAGCAGCTTGGTAAGTCTCAGTGCTCGATGTTCCAGTCAGGCTTATAAAGTTCAAACTAGCTTGCTTTCAGGTTATCTGAATACGTGAAAATTTGCTTTTGCGTACTGAAGGAATTTGCACTGCTTGCTACGCAGTTACGCCGCAATCATTGAATGATGGCCGCCCATAGTGAACTAACTAACTTCTGCTCTAGCTGTATAACCCCTACTGCTTAAATTCCTACCAAGAACTTGGTGTGCAGCGACGCACGACTGTTTCAGGAACATGCCACGAGATAGAACCACAGGTGTTGATGACATCCCGCAAAGTTATCTTCTATGACAGACAAGTCATCGGTCTCGGCCTTCAAATCATTCGTGAATTGTCATTATAATAACTGTCCTATACTTGGATCACTTCGCAGGGACGAAAAAGAATACCTCAAGATTCGACATACTGTCAGTGACACAGGGGAAAGTGGTGAGGTCAGTCACAACGCATCGAACACATCTAATACAGGTTTACTGGGAGTCATGTTCTTGTGGAGCGTTTATTGCGTTCATCGGGGCGATTGAATTTGGTATGGATCTGGAACACATTAACGTTTCGTCAACACAGTAGCAAATAAGCATTGCCTCGAGGCTTGCGGTCAAGGGTATGGCCTGCTATCATATTTAAACGACGTTGCTACTCGCTCTTCTCGTTCAACGCCTAGCCTTACTTCGCCCACACTGATCCTTAACTATTCCGAATTCGCCATGAGCAACAGCAATCAATTAACGGACTCGAGCCCAGATCACCAGGACACCACAGCAGTTAGTCGCGGAAGTTCGGTACGTCGCTCATGTCCATCACTTGTCCATCACACTCTCAAACAATGACTCTGATGTCCCATTCGTCCAGGTCCAACCGCCAAACAAAGTTCGTCGGTTTCTGAGGAAGGTCAAGGATGGTGTAACGAAGAAGATTCTTGTAAGTCGAGCAACCGAGTTGTATTGGGATCAGACTGAGATCATGCACAAGCGCTCGAACATGAAGAATTTGCGCAGCCGCGAGCCTGTTCTCCCGAATGTTGATCACAAAGGCGCCTTGTCAACTCCGAATATCAAGTCTGAGGTAAGTCACTTTTCAGTTTCTGCTTTCTCTCTCAACTTCTGACGGTCGCGTGGTTCAGAATGCTTCATCTGGTGTGAAACAAGGTGGTGATCCCCAATCGGCACTTCGAGACGCCAAAAAAGCTGTCAAAGGTATCAATCTACTTTCAGGGCCTGTAGAGTCTGGGGCATCCGCCGCCCAAAATGCATCGGGGGATCTCGAGGACGCATATAGTTTCCAGGACACATATCTTCAGCCCCTCAGGATATTCGACAATTTTATTGGGAAGCTCGCAGATGTATGGGCCCAATCCTGTTCGTTGGAACCCAACTAACTTCGTTCTGCAGGTACATCCATATGCAAAGATTGCACTGGGCATCTTGTCTTGTGCTTCAAAAGTATGTTTGGTTTCTCTCTCGTTTCCATTGCGCACTCAGGAGTCATCGGTGTAGATGGTCATCGCCCAATCGGATCGCGATCAAGCGGTCCATCATCTTGTCGACAAGTTGGATCAGGTTTTTGACTTCATGATCCAGGACGAGACGCTTGGTGAAATTTCATCAATGCGTGGTATTCTTGGACAGATCTCTCAGCAGACCCTTGAATGCGCCCGCTTCATCAGAGATTATTCAGAGACCAAGAGCTTCTGTGAGTCTCCAAGCTGTTGCACGTTCCATGCGCTCAGTCTCCTACCATTTTAACAGGGAGGAGACTGGGGAAAGACATTCTCACTGAAACAAACAATGAAATTCAACGGTACAGCGATGCGTTGGATGCGCTCATGCAAAACTTCCGGGACCGAGTTGCTCGGGACGTCGCTATTTACACCCACCGTGCAGGTGAGGATTGTGTCTGTTCCTAATGCAACAGCTATACATGTCTCTTCAGGCGAACTACTGGACCTCAGTAGTATAACTTATGCAGCGAACGCAGGGCTAGATACCAGAAAACAATGCCTCCAAGGGACGCGCACGGAAGTACTCTGCCAGATCACAGATTGGGTGAACAGCACCGGAGATGACGTTCCACGGGTCCTGTGGCTATCTGGCCCTGCAGGCAAGGGCAAATCAGCTATCGCCCACACGATTGCTAAATGGTTCAGCGATGTGGGAGGGCTTGGTTCTTGTTATTGCTTTGACCGAGATCGAGAAGCAGACCGTCGCCATGAGAAGATATTCTCTACCATCGCACGCGACCTGGCCGATCGTGATTGGGGGATGAGACGAGCCTTGGCAGATACAGTTCAGAATGCCAGTGCGCTCAAGACTACAGCTGACATCATCCAGCAATGGGAGAAGCTTCTGATGGAATCAATACAGAAGCTCTTAGATTCAACCGTGGGCCCTGTCGTGATCGTGATCGACGCGCTGGATGAGAACGGGCCAGCCAAGACACAATGCGACCTTCTTCGCATTCTTTCCGGTAAACTTCAGAACTCTGCCATTCCTCAAATCACACAGCTCCCAAAGAACTTTCGGTTTATCGTCACCTCTCGCCCGCTCCGGGACATTCAGAATGCGTTTGCGGGCGCTCAACACATCCGAAGGATTTCCATGGACGACATTCCACCAGAAGTCGCGGAACACTATATCCAAGCTTACGCGTCGAATAAGCTGCAAGGGCTTGCACATTTTGGGAGCACGGAGTTTACAGCCCTCGCCAAGAAAGCTGATGGTTTTTTCGAGTGGGCACGTCTTGCTTGCGAATCCATCGAAGCACCTCCCTTTGGTTCATCTTCCGTTCAGTTCTTCAATGTCACGGTGTCTCGCGATGGTGTCAAACGGGAGCACCTATTGTATGATATGTATGACTTAATTCTGAAGCAGATCATACCAAAGGATGAACACGCAGACCCCGAGTTTCGGCAAACACAGCTAGCAATGTTTCGTTCCGTGATGGGACAAATTCTTGGCACAGCCGAACCCCTCCCTTTGAATTCCCTGAATGCCATGCGAAGCCATTTTTCAGATGAAAGCAAGTGTTACGAAGTGAAGGACATTATAGAACACATGGGATCCCTCCTCAGCGGAACTATCAACTCATCCACCCCAATCCGACCCCTTCATGCATCCTTCCGCGATTTCCTGACAGACCAATTACACAGTAAAGAGTTCTTCGTTGACGTGCCGAAAACTCAACGAGACCTTGCTTTCGCATCACTTGGAGTGATGAAAGATGAGCTTTCCTTCAATATCTGTGATTTAAAATCATCCTATCTCCCCAACTCCAAAGATCCCGGTCTGCGAGAACAAGTTGAAAAGCGCGTCCCCCCACATCTAGCCTATGCCTGCCGATTCTGGCCTTCACACGTACAAGCCACTAAGTTTGATTCAGAACTCGGCACAGAAATAAAATCATTCTTCGACCATGAGCGACTGTTCTTCTGGCTCGAAGTACTCTGCCTCATCAATGCGCTCAGTGGCGCAGTCCCCGCCCTTCCGCTCATTGCCAAGTGGTTGAAGGTGAGCATACGGTTATTGAGCGTCAGGTAACATGCTTGCTAATGCGCAATCGCAATGACAGGGTCGTACCGGATACGAAAATGCCTCGTCTGCTGCAATGGACGTACAGAGATTCATTCAAGTCTTCACCGGCATCATCTTGCACAGCACACCTCATCTCTATGTATCAGCCTTGCCATTCTCTCCCTTCAACTCTGCACTATCCAGAACGTTTTCTGCACAGTTTCCGAACTCTCTTCGTGTACCATCTGGACGTGATATCAACTGGACAGCCATTCAGACTGTGATCAGCGGACACACTGATTATGTTAACTCAGTCTCGTTCTCGCCGGATGGGACTCGCATTGCGACTGGATCGGATGATTGCACTGTGTGGTTGTGGGACGCAGCAACGGGGCAGCCAGTAGGCAAGTCCTTGCTGGGGCACACCAGGCCAGTTACCTCAATTTCATTCTCGCCGGATGGGACGCGCATTGTGTCTGGCTCGAAAGATAAGACTGTCCGGTTGTGGGATGTAGCAACGCGGCAGGCCATTGGTAAACCCTTGTTGGGGCATACCGATAAGGTTAACTCAGTCTCATTCTCGCCGGACGGAATTCGCATCGTGACAGGTTCGGACGACAAGACTCTCCGGTTATGGGATGCAGCAACGCGGCAGCCGGTTGGTGAGCCCTTGGAAGGGCACACTGGATCAGTCAATTCAGTCTCATTTTCTTCGGATGGAACACACATCGTTTCTGGTTCGGACGGTCAGACTGTCCGGCTGTGGGATGCAGGAACGGGGAAGCCTGTCAGTGAGCCCTTGCTGGGGCACACTGGTTCGGTTGTGTCAGTCTCGTTCTCTCCAGATGGGACACGCATCGTCTCTGGTTCAGCCGATAAGACCGTCCGGTTGTGGGATGTGGCGACAGTGAAGCCTGTCGGTGAGCCCATGAAGGGGCACACTGGTTGGGTGAGGTCAGTTTCACTTTCGCCAGATGGAAGTTGCATCGTGACAGGTTCGGACGATCGTACTGTCCGGTTGTGGGATCCAGCAACAGGGAAGCCAGCGGGTAAGCCCTTACTGGGGCATACTCATCATGTCTATTCAGTCTCAGTCTCTCTGGACGGGACTCGCATCGCGACTGGTTCTTGGGATAAAACTGTCCGACTGTGGGACGCATCTACAGGGAAGCCAGCTGGTGAGCCCTTGCGAGGGCACGCCAATTCCAATTTTATTGCCTCAGTCTCGCTATCGCCAGATGGGACCCGCTTCGCCACTGGTTCAAAGGATGGCACTGTCCGGCTGTTGGATGCAGTGACAGGTCGTCCAGTCAGTGAGCCTTTATTGGGGCACACTGGTTGTGTCCGTCCAGTCTCGTTCTCTCTGGATGGGACCCGCATTGCGACTGGTTCTGCAGATAAGACTGTCCGGCTGTGGGACGCAGGGACGGGACAGTTAGTGGGTGAGCCTTTCCGCAGGCACACTGGTCAGGTTAACTCAGTCTCATTCTCTCCGGACGGAACTCGCATCGTTTCTGGTTCGGACGATAAGACAGTCCGGCTGCGGGATGTAGGAACGGGGAAGCATGTTGGTGAGCCCTTGGAGGGGCACATTGATTGGGTTTGGTCAGTCTCGTTCTCACTGGATGGAACTCGCATCGCGACTGGTTCTAAGGATAAGACTGTCTGGCTGTGGGACGCAGGGATGGAGCAGTTAGTGGGTGAGCCTTTCCATGGGCACACTGGTCGGGTTACCTCAGTCTTGTTCTCTCCGGACGGAACTCGCATCGTTTCTGGTTCGCACGATAAGACAGTCCAACTGTGGGATGCAGTAACGGGGAATTCTGTCGGAGAGCTCTTGGAGAAGCACACTAGGCTAGCAGGGTGAGGTCGGTCTTCTTCTCACCAGATGGGACTCGCATCGTGTCTGGCTTGACCGATAACACTATCCGGCTGTGGGATCTAGTATCAAGGCAGCCAGTCGGTGAGCCCTTGTGGGGGCACACCGATGTAGTTACCTCAGTCTCATTCTCGCGGGATGGGACTCGCATCACCTCCTGTTCGTGGGATGGAACTGTCCGGGTGTGGTATGCAGCGATTGGGAAGTCATTGCAGGACCATGCCGAAGAAGACTGTTCGCCGTCATCCTCACACAGCAGCTGCATCCCGCATCCAACACCGGCCGTCCCCACACCCAACACTGCAAACGATTACTTCATTTCCTACTCATCCGACCCAATTCATGCACTGCGCAACACTGCTGAGCTACTCGCGGGCATTTCCTATGACGACCACACATTTGTACTAGGAAAAGATGGATGGGCGATGGGACCGAATCGTCTTCTCTTATTCTGGGTACCACCCGCCTCTCGAAAACCTTTCTATAATCCTCGGACTGCATTAGTGATGCCCAGAGGTGGTGTTGAGCTTGACTTGAGTTGCATGGCACATGGGACACGCTGGCAGCACTGCCGCAAGAAGTGAGTCTCCAGTGTTTTCTGTCCCTCGCAGTCAATCAATTCGATTCTTGTAGCTCTTAACTGCAACGGTCTCGTTCCTGTAAATTGATTTGTGGAGATATTTGTCGAGTACGATATGGAGTGTACAGTCAATTCGTTGTCTATTATATACGTAGTATTGCATTCAAGTTTGGGGTAGTTTGAGCGAACGACGTGACAGATTTTTGGGAGCATCATGTAGCTATCTTCGGGGGACGAATGAAGTTGTCTGAGATGCAGTCGAGCGAAATCAATAGACAAGAGCGTGTTCAACTTAGAAGGCGCCTCCCTATGTGAACTGAAGAAACTGATGATTGCGGCGGCGGCGGTTGAAGTAGCTGGAGTCGTCTGGCTTCGATTGCCCTCAACACAGTTTAAGTGTTGAGAGGACTAGGTCGATGGAAGGGAGCGCGGTTCATTGCGTACAGTACAACATGTGTCTAGTAACAATGAACTAGTACCATCAGAATGATGGGTACAAGGATATCGAGACTTAAGGCGCCATGGCTTTGTGATCTGCTGCTCACTGGGCTCCTGCAAGCAGTCCAACCCCCTGGCAAAAACATTGTACTGTTGTGGCATGTCTTTCTAGTGATCGAATTGGGCGGCTGCATGCTGCGGCTGGGGCATGACAACAGGCAGAGATATGTCGGAGTGCGCAGGGAAGCCAGTGTGTGTGGCCGCGGATGAAGCCTGAGAGTTGTTGTACTCTGCCGACATCCAGGCGGAGGGGTCATTCGGATTGAAGTCCGTGGCATTGATGTCTATTGACAGATCGTGAAGTGGGAGGAGGGGAATACCAACGCCCAGATAAGCATGCGGAGAGAAAGTCATCTCATTGAAGCTCTGAATTGTTGTGTCAGCGTCGATCCGGAAGACGAAAAATAGATGGTAATAAGTATAAGGCTGCGTGGTTTGGCTAGAAAAGTTTGAGTTGAAGAACGACGGCTCAAACAAGCCTGTGTGTACCGCTGGAAAAAGGAGACTTGTCGTGCTGCCAGGATGCAGGTGAGGCGATGCCCCGATAACGGAGGATAGTTGGTTGGGCACTCGAAGCTTTGCGTTGACCCGGGATGTAGCGAGCAAAGCGAGAGAATTTTCCGACAGGAGACTCAGAAGCGACCCTGCGAAGAACGGTGGCGTTGAGATGGTAATGCCCGCAGCACCGAACTGCGAATCCGAAAGGGACACAGAAGAGGGTCGCCTTAGGAAGATAGGCAGGTGCAGAGGCATGTACCTTAGCAGCGACGAGCTGGTCGCCCTTCAGGAAAACACTCAAGGTACGTGCCTTGTACTCAGTTCTGGTGTACTGAGCCTTAGCTTAATCCCTAACTGGTGAAAATCGAATGGAGATTGATGGATTTGTATATATGTAAGTTTGGGGTAGTCAGTAGAATGTTTTAGATCAATATGTATCGTTCTCACGATATATCAGAAGGTTAGCACCTTGGGGGCGTTTCGGAGCTCGTCTCCGAAATATCAATCTTATAAGTTTTAACTGAGAAAAATTGAAAAATGAGTCCAATGCTGGCTACATACGTCTCGCGAGCGACGCTCGTCCCAGTACTTTTCAAACCCCGTGTGACCGTCTTGCTCAGAGGAAGATGGTCCAGTACCGTCGCGCAGTCGAAGGTGTGGGAATCTCCCGATGAGGCAGTCAAAGATGTAAAATCAGGAGATGTCCTTCTATGTGGTGGTGAGTATTGAACCTTTATTCTTATACCGAACGTAATATACCGTCGACATTCAGGTTTTGGTTTGGCTGGTGTGCCAGGTGAGTCTTGATACAGGGTGAATCGCAAGCGGTATAACTAAGCTAGGATACAACAAGACACGCTTCTTGCCGCCTTAGCCAAGCGCAAGGACGTTACAAAGCTAACAGGAGTTTCCAATAATGCTGGCGCAGGCGACTCTGGACTTGGTTTGTTTCCACAACTATCCATGATCCGTGAAAACTCATGAATATCCATAGGAAAGTTATTTAACACCAAGCAGATTGATAAGGTCGTCGCTTCATACCCTGGAGGGTGAGTGACTCACCTTGTGGGGGCCAGCGCGAGATAAATTATCTATCTTTCCAGAAACAAGGCCTTCGAGGCTTTATATCTCAAGGGCGAGGTATCTTTGGAGCTATGCCCCCAAGGTACACTCGTTGAACGTCTCCGTGCCCATGCCGCTGGTATCCCAGCCTTCTTCACCCCTACGGGAGCATCAACCGCAGTAGAAGATGGTTCGATCCCAACACGATACAACGAAGGAGGATTTGCCAACGGCGTCAAGATACCAGGTATTAAGAAAGAATCACGGGAATTCGGAGGTCGCAAGTATATCATGGAACCGGCTATTGCTGGTGATGTCGCTTTTATTCGTGCATGGAAAGTGGATGAGGTTGGCAACTGTGTTTTCCGGTGAGGAGGCCATTTTCGGTTCGTTTACCTTAGCGCTAAATGTGCTGGCTTGTGTAGGTATACCCAGCAGAATTTTAGCACGGTCATGGCGAAGAACGCAAAACTCACGATAGTGGAGGTGAGTACGTCACAGTATATCTGTGAGGAAGTTGATGCATTCTTTGTAGGCAGACCAAATCGTGCCTACTGGTTCTCTTTCACCAAACGCCATCCACGTCCCTGGCATCTATGTCGACCGGGTTGTTCGATCCACCGCACCAAAGCAAATAGAGCACATCAAGCTTGCGCCAAGCCCATCATCTTCTGGTGAACAGTCCACTCTGAGTGCTGAAAAAGAATTCGCACAGAAGATGCGTCATCGTACTGCAAAGCGCGCCGCCAAAGAGCTCAAGGATGGATTCTACGTAAACCTCGGTATTGGCATACCTACTCTCATTCCCGCGTACCTCGAACCCGGTGTGCGTGTTTGGCTGCAAAGCGAGAATGGCATTCTCGGCATGGGGCCATATCCTACGGCGGAGCAAGTGGATCCGTAAGTTGTGTCGCCAGGCAGTGTTTCCTCATACTAAGCATCTTTTTGTAGGGATCTCATCAATGCAGGCAAGGAGACTGTGACCTTGCTGCCGGGTGCCTCGGTTTTCGGTATGTTTCTCGCTCGATTCACCTTTAATTGCTAACGCCATAGGGCAGATTCAAGTGAATCATTCGCTATGATCCGTGGTGGTCACGTCGATCTCTCCATTCTCGGTGTGAGTATTGTATTTTTGTCGACTTTCTGGCTCATCCCGCACTCTTCCGGTTCATCTCATAGGCTATGCAAGTCTCACAAGGAGGCGACATCGCTAATTTCATGATTCCCGGAAAACTGGTCAAAGGTTTGTGATTTAGACATGTTTCGTCAGTCTTCTGCATTCTCACCGCCGATCACATTCTTAGGTATCGGAGGAGCTATGGACCTGGTATCTAACCCAGACCAAACGAAGGTTATAGTTGTGATGGAGCACTGTGCAAAGGACGGCAGTCCTAAGATTTTGAAGGAATGCACTCTTCCGCTCACGGGCGCCCGTACTGTCAGCCAAATCATTACGGAGTTGGCCGTTTTCGACGTCGACAGGAAGAACGGTCACCTCGAGCTTGTTGAGCTCCAGGAAGGCGTAACGCTTGAAGAAGTCAGGGCGAAGACCGGCTGCGATTTCAAGGTACGGGGCAACCTGAGCAAGCTTTGATCGCTCTCAGGTTTCGAGGTTATTAATTTATTATCATCGATCAAACATTGTTACCATCGTTTCCTTACGAAAATTGGTTGTTGCAGCATGTGTATTGTTCCTGTACCACTTAAGGACTTCAATGGGCGAGTTCAATTAGCTGTTTCCCAGCTTGAGCAAAAAGGGGTGCACTACAGCTGACAGCCGCCTCAGACCTTAAATGCCTAATTCGGTTGTCCGGCAACTATAACAAACTTGATGTCGCGTTGTATCATGACCTGTTATACTAATCATCCTGAGGTTCATCCAGCCATGTTCGCTACTACGCTTGGATTTTGCACATGATTACACTCAGCACTCATCGATCATGTCGAGTCATATTCGAAGTGATGTTCAGATCATCGTGTGGACTTACTGACTTCTGATGGTATGAATATCAACGTTTACGGTGTCAGTGCGATGTCCATACCTTTTGCTCGTTCTCACTTTGAACATGCTTAGAGTGTAGCCTCCTCGCCAAGCTTCGGTGTGATCCTGCTTGGCTAAGGATCACATGTTTTAGTGTACCGTCAAAGACGACCAAGAGAAAAAAAATCGACAATACCGGGATTAATCGGACAAGCACAGTCGGGGAGTGGCGGCTTGCCCGCCGCTACGATAAGGTTCGAGGCGGAAACTGACCACCTGACGGCTGACTGTGATTTTCGGAACGGAATTGGCGTTCGCCCGGTCAACTGCAACCAAATTCCTCTGATTCACTGTCCTGGGACCTGAACTCTGGCACCTATGGGTCTTGCTCCTTTCCTTCCTACGCATAGTACGCGCATTTTTCGACGATGCCAGGATCTGACATCCTTCCGGTTATATATAAGACATCATGCGACGCAGCCTGAGTCTGGTGCACTCCAGCGGAAGAAAGTATGGGTATCTGCAGATGCTGCTGTGCAAGATGTGAAGTCTGGGGACATTGTCCTGAGTGGAGGTATGTCCGCGTCATTGTAGTTAGATTGGAGTTGACGCTATTTCATTCAATGTCAGGGTTCGGTTTGTGTGGTACTCCTGGTAAGTTCGTTGCCCACTAGTTCTAAAGAAGGATGTCTTATAATCGCCCCATAGAGACTTTGATCACTGCTCTTTCACGACGAACGGGCGTGCACGGTTTAACTGCTGTATCCAACAATGCTGGTTCAAGTGATTTGGGTCTGGGTAAGCAGTTCAGTTTCCCGTGCCCAATAGTGGAATCTCACCAATTATAATGGACTAGTCAAGCTAATGAAAAGCGGGCAACTTGACAAGCTCATAATATCATATCTTGGCGGGTGTGTGCTACTTCTGCATGTAAGCTCGTGTGCTCATTGCGCGCTCAGAAACAAATACCTTGAGCGGATGTACCTCGATGGAAAGATGTCCCTCGAACTGGTCCCGCAAGGTACCCTCGTTGAACGGATGCGTGCACACGGCGCAGGCATTCCCGCCTTCTTCACACCCACAGGTGCTTCCACGACCGTTGAAACTGGCGGGATTCCCATCAGATTTAAAGCGGGCGGCTTCAAAGAAGGTATTTTGATACCGGGAAACAAAAAGGAATACAGAGACTTCAATGGAAAGCGGTATATCATGGAGCCTGCCATCGCCGGCGACGTCGCATTCATCCATGCCTGGAAGGCAGACGAGGCAGGCAACCTCATGTTCCGACATGTCGCAAACAATTACAATAACGCCATGGCAAGGAATGCGCAGTTAGTTATCGCAGAGGTAAGTATAGTGCGGTATTTATTTAGCATAAAGCTTATCGCGCTTCTAGGCAGAGGAGATTGTCCCTATTGGCTCATTGCCGCCAAACGCTGTCCACGTCCCAGGAATATTTGTTGACCGTGTTGTGCAGGCCACTGAGCCAAAAGGGTTTGATATAATTGCCACTGCTCCGCCACCCGGAACTACAGGTGGCCCCTCACCTGAGGAACTCCTGGAAAAGAGCACACGGCGCAGAATAGCAAAGCGCGCAGCACAAGAACTCAGAGATGGCTTTTACGTAAACCTTGGTGTTGGCATTCCCACCCTCGTTACGGAGTATCTCCGGCCGGGCATCAAGATCTGGCTGCAAAGTGAGAACGGCATTCTGGGAATGGGTCCGTTCCCCACCGAAGACCAAGTCGATCTGTGGGTATCGCTGGATATGTGTTCCAATGATGTTGGTGCTGATAGTAAGCTAATAGTGACATAACCAATGCTGGAAAGGAGACGGTCACTTTGCTGCCGGGCGCTTCGGTCTTTGGTGAGTGACGTCAGGACACCAGTAAGAGGCGCGTGTTGATGTGCTGTACATAGATTCGACTGATTCGTTCGGTATGATCCGGGGAGGCCACATGGATGTCGCCATCCTTGGTGTATGTTTCATCTTGGTTGGTTGTAGGAATTTTTTGTGATCGAACATTTTTCCAGGCTATGCAAGTATCCCAGGCCGGCGACATTGCAAACTTCATGATTCCAGGCAAGCTTGTGAAGGGCATGTGATTCAGCATCACATCCGTATCTAGACTCATGTGACACCTGCAGGGATTGGCGGAGCCATGGACCTGGTATCAAATCCTGACAAGACGAAGGTCATTGTGGCCATGGAACACTGTGCAAAAGATGGAGGTCCAAAGATCATGCAGGAATGCTCGTTGCCACTGACTGGTGCACGGGCGGTCGGCCAAATTATTACCGAACTTGCTGTGTTTGATGTTGACCGGTCTGGTGGCAACTTGACGCTCGTTGAAGTGGCCAAGGGTGTGACGGTGGAGGAGGTACAAGCGAAGACAGCCTGCGACTTCAAGGTCTCTGACAACCTTGGGCAGATGTAAGTGTAAGTTCCTATTGATGGTATGTATATAAATACATGGATCAGTAGGCTTGCTTGATTTCCACCCTTGATATCTGATGATATCAATCACACGTTAATTCCGTCCTTCACGGGCATTCCAAGCCTTTGATACACGTACGGTTGTATTTTACATATATTTGGGATGATTGCTGTATTAAAATAAGAGGCCGTCCGTCGCTTCGCATTGCACAGTCAAAGATATATTTTACACAGAAAGTCTGAGGTGGCATATTACTTACACATGTGACAGAAATAGACGCGAAAATCTATTTCCCAAATGTGAGGGTTAGCAACTGTCTTACAACAAACATCACTTGGGTCGACTGTCAACGGTGTGTCTTGGTGGCGACGACGAACAATGAATTGGTTCGCTTCACTGTTCTCGACTGACCGTAAACAATCTGTACGACGAGGACAAGCCATGTCGACAACACAAGAGGCCTTCTCACTCCCAACTTCGTCATCGGGTCATGGGCGACATCCAGACGCTTTCAACCCAGCGGCTCTTCAGACACCAGGACCAGTCAGTCCAACATATACATATCCACCGCAATCCCCAATCTCTTCATACAGTTATGTACCGACTTCGTTCGTCCACTCTTACTTTGTTTTCAATTCAATCAACTGACTTCCGCTAATCTCCAGCTTTCGCTCACGACCAACTTCACTCCTTCCTCTTCATCACACACCCTTCGTAGATTCAATGACACAACCGCCGCCTTACCCTCCATTAGAACATACCTGGAATCGCCTAAAACTATGGCTGGCTCGTGAATACCCAGAACTAGGCGATACTCTCAACTACGGAATTCTTCCACAGGACCTCGCACAAATTGAGATGCAATTTGGTTTTGCGCTACCGCAGGCAGTAAGGGAGTCGTATCTTGTCGTGGACGGACAAGAAGCAGAATCATCAGCGGGCTGCTCAGATGGTCTCTTTTTTGGCCTCTCGTTACTCCCCCTCGAAGCTGTCCTCGAAGAATGGCGGTTTTGGCGCGAAGTCGATGATGACCCTCAGACAGGAAGCAATTCACGTCTGCGCGATATCATGCGGTCCATACCTGATGGCTATGTGCGGAAAGAATACTCGCAGCGTGGTTGGATCCCACTCGTCGTAGATAAGGCAGGCAACTATATCGGCATTGACCTCAACCCTGATAAGGGTGGCGCCGTGGGTCAGGTAATCGTCTTTGGACGTGAATTTGACACGAAAATAGTGCTTTGGCATGGCGATGGACCTGGTGGGTGGGCGCGGTGGCTCGCAAATTTCGTCGATGAATTAGAGAGCGGTGAGGGCTTTGAGCTGGGACAGGGAGGAGAGAGCGAAGGCAGTGAGGATGGCCTAGGGTATGAGGCATACTTCTTTGATGGAAGCGGGCGGGGGCAAGGCGACGGTGGTGGGGAGGCCGGATCGGGAGGACTGCGGCTCACCGGAGAGTATAGAGGGTTGAATCCAATGGAGGCATGGGCTGACCGGAGCGTTAAGAAATGGTATGAATCAGGTTTGATCCACGGATCTCCATCATTGGATGAGAAGAAGGGCAAGGTATCCATCATTGCTCTTATCGGTGAAGTCTGCGGTTAACGTATTGATTATAGGCACGGGAGAGACATGGTCTAGGTGTTTTGAACCTCGCTGACTCCGATGCAATTGTTCCTATACCCGTCTTTACGGACTTGAAGCTCACAGAAGAGCCTACCGATGTTATACCACAGCCACCGCCACCCTTTCCCGCTATCTCCATCACAAAACCCCCAGCTCCGTTACCCGTAGACTTGCCGACTGTCAACGATGTCGTCCCTCTCCCATCGCCACCAGATTCACAGCGCTCGTCTAACGAAGATCTTGAAGCGGGTCGTGGGCTCGACATGCAGGCAATACCAACAGACGTGGTAATCGTTAGAGTTCCTCCTAGACAATCTCCTGCGAAAGCAGAGACTCTTGTCAAACAAGTCATCTCTATGGCAGACAACGTGCATATAGAGACGCCACCCCCTTCGGTGGATAACGTCACCGACCTCCTTGCTGACTCTGCTCCTGCTATGGATGCAGTTCCACTGCAACCCTCGACCCCCACCAATGCAGTGGTAGAACTAGAGGTTTCTGTATCATCAGAGTCCATTGTTACTTCGCGGCTGTCGCAAGAGGGTGCTCAAGAACCTAGCACGACTATTCGGTTAATCGGCGGTGGAGGCTCCTCTGGCGTTGTAGATGCCAACCCCGCAGACGATGCTATTTCCGACCCAGCAGCAAATGCTATATCCGCGACTTCTTCAGGACCGGATGGCTCTCCTTCGAAGAAGGGCAAAATCCACGAGAAGAGCAAGTCGAGCCTGTCGTCGCTAAAGAAGATCGTTAACATTGGCGAGGGCAAGCGGAAAAAGAACTCGAGCAGTAACATCAAAGAGACGATATGACCGCCACACGACTTACATACCACGGATTCGCATTTTTGACTTGTTTGACGGACATAGTTTGCTTAATGCTTATGTTCACGACAGCTGCGCGAGTGTGTTGTTTGAGTTCTATTACTACTTTTTGTTACTACTACTCTGACTTTACTCCTTATACTCCACTCGTTGCATTACATTGCAATTTTTTGTCTGATATACCCATACGTAACTACAAATCATTATCAGCGTTGCTCTGTGATTTCAGCTAATGTAATTTTCCTGGAGACTCATACATAGGCCGGTCGTCGTCAGTTTGTGATCTTGTACTACATATAGGCACTTGTGGGCGACATCACGTGACAACTTACCGACGTGTTGTTGAGAATCAGGATGGAGGATCTGCCTTTTCTGTCTTTATATTTCGAACGCGTTGGTTTGGGGTTTTGAATTCTTCTTGGTTCTGCGCTGTCGTCGCAGAAATGCACTCGCTTTTCTATGTCTTATTCCATCCGCTAAACACGCTCAACTTATGGCTCGAAGACGATCCGAATGCCAGCATCGTCGATGTATTATACCTCTTCACCACGTTTTCAGCATTTGGTATATGGCTGGTGTTTGACAGATACCAGAAAGCGGTCAACAGCGCAGTGCCTTTCCACCATCCTGCTCCAGAGGTGCGTGTTTTCATATTTTTCCTACGGAGATAAAACTCATTCCTTTTGTTGACAGGCGGCAGACCCCAGCTGGGACTCTCGTGTGATACCCAATGCCAACCTACGCTCGCATCTCCAGATGCCCGACCTCCTTCCTCTCCAATTTGGAGGAGGTGGACGCGAATATATTACGTGTTTTGACCCCGCTAACAACCTGCACCTCACTTCCGCTCTCGCGGATGATGCACGATCAATCGAGGCTAAGATCAAACGCGCGAAAAATGCACAGGTTAAGTGGTGCGAGACGTCATTTGGCGAGCGGAGACGCGTCATGCGCAGCTTACTGAAGTGGCTCGTGGAGAACCAGGAGTTATGTGCGCGGATCGCGTGCCGCGACTCAGGAAAGACAAGTAAGTTGTTTTGGTTTCGTTTTCTGCCGTTATCGAGATAATTCCTTGTAGTGATTGACGCGGCTTTGGGCGAGATATTGTCGACGTGCTCAAAGCTAGAGTGGTTGATTAACCATGGCGAACGCGCTCTTCGAACGGAAACAAGATATTCGAATTTGATGATGAGTTACAAGAAATCACAGGTCATTTACGAGCCGAAAGGTGTGGTGGCTGCTATCGTATCATGGAACTACCGTTGGTGTTTCTTTAGTGACGTAATTGATAAAGCGGCTGATCTGATCGTAGCTCTTCATAATGCTTGGTCACCAATTGTCGCATCTATTTTTGCCGGAAACGCCATCGTACTTAAGGCATCTGAACATGTTATTTGGTCTACGGAATGGTTTGTTGGCGCTATTCACAAGTGCCTAGAGGTTCTCGGATACGACGCTGATATCGTGCAGGTATGGGTAGTGTTGATTTCGTATCACAATGCTAACCAAATTTCAGACTGTTTGCTGTTGGCCTGATCAGGCTGAAGCATTGACCAAGTCACCTCTTATTAAGCACATTACCTTTATTGGCTCAGAGGAAATCGGAAGAAAGGTGAACAGAACGCTGGCTATTTGTATTGTTTTTAAATTGTCCACAGGTCGCCATGGCTGCCACTGAACACCTGACGCCCGTTACTCTCGAGCTTGGTGGAAAGGACCCTGCTATCATTCTACCAGACACGGACCTCCAGAAATGGTCTAGTATCTGGATGCGTGGTATATTGTGAGTGTTACGCATATTTACTCGACACCTTCCCAACTGACTGATGTGCCAGTCAAAATTCAGGTCAGAACTGCATCGGTATTGAGCGTCTCATTGTGCACTCTAAACAATACGATGAATTATTCGATATCTTGACGGAGCGCGTCGCTAAGTTGCGCTTTGGGTCTGTGTTGGCGCCTACTCGCGAGGGCTACATCAACACCGTGGATTGTGGTTCTATGATCAGCAATGATAGATTTAATGTGCTTGAGGAGCTAGTATTCCAGGCGCAGGAAGATGGCGCAAGAGTCGATATCGGCGGGAAAGAGCTTTTGCATACGTCGTGCCAGGGAAAATCATTCTTCCAGGCAACGGTGGTAGGTGATGCCAAACCCAGCTCGCGAATTGCACAGGTGGAATGTAGGTGTTGTTGTGTTATATGTTTCGAGTTGCTGACATTGATGTCGTACCATGAAGTGTTTGCCCCAATTGCGCTGCTCATTCGTTATGATGATATTGATGATGCAATCACTATCGCGAATGGAACGCGGTACGGACTTGGCGCCAGCGTCTTTGGACCTCATCAAGACCTGTGTATTGAAGTCGCAAAGGAGCTTCATTGTGGTATGGTATCTGTCAATGACTTTGGGGTGTACTATGTGAGCTGGTTTTGCCTCGATGTTGATTTACTGCAATGCTGATATGCTACTTTTAGCTCAAGTAAGCAGTATGTTAATATCCAGAATGCGGTAACTAACTTTCCCCACAGCCAAGATCTGCCATTTGGAGGTACTAAATCTAGTGGATACGGACGGTTCGGTGGCAGTGAAGGGCTTCGTTCACTGACGAACCCTAAAGCAATTGTCACCGACCGCTGGCCATCGTTTGTGCAAACCACTATACCCAAAGTGCTGGACTATCCCATACGCTCACTCGTGCGGAGCTGGTATGTCCCTTTCCTGTGGTTTACGTTATCTTTGTTTTGATCGGTGTTGTGAACAGGGACTTCGTCCATGGTTTGACTATGCTGTTATACGCTGATGGATATCGTGCGCGGTTCAATGGGTTGTTGCAACTTACGAAAGCTCGCCGATGATCTATGGAAGTATTGCTATGCTCCGTACACCGGGCACTGAATTGTATTTTTTTGCGGGGTAGCAGTCTACGTAACTTATGGGCCTGACTCCGTAAGAGAATCCCACCAGCAGCTTGCATCGCTGTCTAGTGAGATTCCATGATTGAGTTCAGCTCCACTGCAGACTGATTCTAATGGTTGGTATTGTAGAGGAATATAATGCACAATGCGATATGTGGGTGACTCGCGCTTGGTGGGATTCGTCGGCCAGAATACCGCGGAGATTTTAAGCGTATATGGCAAGCGATTCTCGTTCCGAAACGTTATGGTTCTTCACCCACGTGTAGTTTCAACCGTATTCTGTAGCGGTCCTTTGATTGGTTTCTCTGCTCGTAAGAGTATTATATGAACTTTTTCAAACACCTTGGATTGGTGAGGCACGTTTGGGAAAAACGTCATGATAACATAATAACAAAGGAGCCGTGCATATACGTGATGGGAGTTTGATGGGAATTGTCAACCTTTTCATTTATAAATTACATCCGAGGCAAGTACTAGTGCGTGACCTTACCGTCAGTACCAACGGCAGCGTCGCTGTTTCTACAAACCCTCCAGACTCTAGTGTGTAACATCTTACTTTCACTCATCCTCGGGTTTATTGTACTTCTGGAAACGAACAGGTAACGAAACCTATCCCGAAACCGGTGTCAAGGTGCCTGTCAGGCCCGGGTACAACTGACGGTGCTCGGTTCCAAATTTCCTTCATAACCGCCTTCGATGGCTCGCCAACAAGAGTATTTCTTTTCATTTGGACCTTCATTTATGCAAAGAATGCGAACTCTTGCAGACCTTGCGCTAAGGCGATTCGGAATGTGCGTACTCTCTGTAATCATTTTGGCTTCGAATTTGACGCCGAGGGAATCAAGACATTGCGCAACACATCAAATTCGTCTCATCCTGATCTCGGCGATTGTTATCACATCCTTGTCGTACCCTGCACTTGCCATGTACTGGTCGACTCCATCTTACTCCCGCTTTGATTCCACATCAAATGCACTGGATTCGTTCCTCGCTGCTCATGCGGCATATGACGGCTACACACATAGCGATGTACATCAACTTTGGGACGGAAACGCCAACCTCCAAGTACGAGACGACTTCCTCACACGAGCACGTTGTGGAAGTGACCGTACACTTCGTGTTGAACGCATTCTCATCGATACAGCTGACGGAGCAGGGGCACTTTCCCTACAGACTTTGCTTTACACCCTCCAACTAGAAAAGCGGATTCTCCGAGGACTTCTGAATCATGGGGTCTCTTGCAACAACCTGAACTTGCGTCACTGTTTTGTTATCAGCCCTCTTTCCTTTTGGGAGCACGACGAGGAACGTTTGCGTAGTGATAGGAACATCTCCCTAACAGCCACTCGTTCAAACGGTGTCACCGTTGCAGGTATGCATGTTACACCGCCAATGGTCCTTGCAGGACGCGACTCCACACAACGTAATTCTGCGACCCCTGACTCTGCAATGTTCCTGGCACTTACCTATGTATTCCCTGAGACGGATTGTTTGAGGAGTGCCGGGCATCATTCTTGGCTACAAATTATCAAGAACTCGACACAGGAGAACCCAGAAAGTGCACAAATATTTGCAGTGACTGCGGAACCGAAGCTAATCGCATTGGAGGTATGTACATTACTATTCGTGGCTTATGTGTGAATCCTAAATGTTTGCAGTACAATCATAGCCTATCCATGACTACGGGAACTTCATCCATTTCAACATTCTTATACCTCGCGTATGGTGCATTTTTTGTATATGTTTCGTGGTCAATGAAGCGCATGAACGGTGTGCACAACCGTATCGGTCTCACTTTCACGGCACTCGTTGAGATTGCGGCAAGTACAATCACCAGTCTGAGTGTATGTGCATTGCTACGGTTTAAAGTGACCATGGTTCCCTGGTAACGCTCTATATCCTGTCTTGTCATACAAGCACTTACCATAAACAGGAGTCTTCTTCCTATCGTTATCATCTTCATTGGTGCAGAAAATATGTTTAATCTCGTGGATGCGGTGACCCGCACATCTATCACACTCCCTGTCAAAGAGCGCATCGCTGAGGGACTAAGCCGTGCTGGAACTTCTAATACACTCAAAGTTGTGTCCTATAACTCTATTCTGGGCGTTATCGCCTTTTCCTCTGCTGGCGCAATCAGGCAATTTTGCACCTTTGCAGTGGTAGTCCTCGTTGCACATTGGTTCCTTGCGCATACATTCTTCTTGGCAGTACTCAGTATTGATATACAAAGGCTGGAGGTGAGTCCACCAGAGCTTGCATACGTGGGTTGGTGCTGAAGTAGATGAGTTCAGCTTAATCAACTGCTGAGGCAAGACCCAAGCTTAGCGCCAGCTGCGTCTGCTTCGACTCGTGACGCCTCGCTGGAGAAAAATGCATCTAACTGGCAGCGGGCCACGCTCAATGCGAAGGAATCACTCAAAGGCCGCGCATTGACAAATATAAGCCTGTTACTAGTATGTATGAGTTTGAGCTCAGTATGTCTATGTGTTCATAGCCTCTCTAGCTCCTTGCAATCACCGCAACACTGTATATTATGACAAGACCTGCTACTCGTGAAAGCGAGGCAGGATTCATCATTCCTTCCACCGTTCAGCAACGCATACAAGCAGCTCACCGTCGCCCAGATTCGCAAGATCCCGCCTGGCGTATTTGGAAGACGCTCAATCCCGACGAAGAGCCACTAGTTCATCTCCGTCTTGAGGTCCCGACCATTATCGCGTTCCAGCCTGATACAGGGGCAGACCATGGTTATGGATACGCCCCTGTGCCTGCACGTTCCATCAACCTCGTTTTCTGGTTGTTAAAGTTCGTCGTGTTGCCAATTAGCGTAACGATCGCCACGCTTTATGGACTGCTACTATACCTGCTGAAAGATGCCGAACTTCTTGAGGCACAGCGGAATCGTGCAGAGGCTGATGCACCATCCCCCAAGGGTGAAAAGCCACTCAATGGAGAAGCCTCTTTCAAGACACTACCGCGTGCTTTTGCAACCGATGTCGAGCTGCTTGCATCAAGCAAGGATTGCGAAGTGATAGCTGCAGTTGGATTACAGAATGAGCTTACCATATGGCACTTCAACGACCCGAACCCTGTATTCATTGATACAAGCGACGTTTTGCTGAGTACAAGCAGTACATCGTTTTCGCAGGAGCGAATATGTACAATCGCCTTAGATGACGCAGGAGAGTATTGTGCTATAGGGACAACACATGGCATGATTGGGATATGGTTCATGGCGGGGAGGAGTGCAAGACCATATGCGACCCTTGCGCCGCCCTCGATCTCGGCAGGGGTTAGGGAAATGCATTTCGCGCCACCGCTCCAATCGGTGTTGAAGCAGAAGAACGGGCCCCAATCTCGCCCATGTACACCTCCTCCAGGTCCTCCTCAACCAGAGCCCCTCATTGTCGTGTATGAGAATGGAGTCATTACCCAATGGGTCATGGAGGACCACACGTCGGCGTCATTCATCTCTCCAATGTCGTCTGAGCCTGTCTTGCAGAGCCGTCTTCTACGTGTTCGCTCAGATGACCGGATACTGGCGGGATTTGTGTTGGCAGATGGAACCCTGGAGCTACTCGGCGTATGCGAAGCTCGGAGTGCTGTGCCAATCCGCTGTGCGCTGCAATCAGGCAACTCGACGGACCGTGTCAGCAAGGTGGATGCGTGTAAAGTCAAGTTAGATGGCAGAGATCATATAATTATTGGCATCGTTTCAGAAGCTGGCGTTATTTCCCTGTGGGATGCCGGGTCCTCCGAATGCATCTTCATCCTGGAGGAGAATCATGGCGCTATCGACCAACTGCGGATATCGAACTCTCGTGTCGTGAATTGCCAGTTCTGTGGCGAACCGCCCATGGACAGCTTTATGGTTTCTGTCTCAATTGGGCATCACGTGATTTTCTATAAAGTTTACATCACATCGCAGGGAAGGAGATGTACGTGCCCTCGAAACAATCCACAACAGTCGGCCATCTTAGAGCTGGCTACGGGCCGGCGCTCACGGAGTAGCAGTATAGTCTCAACTATAGGACCATCCTCAGTCACATCCACACGGAGGTTATCCTCTGCTAGTACTGCCTCCGCGCCAGACACCTCAGCATTTCCTGTTTCTGGCCACGGGATTCTTTCCCGCAGAGCCTCGGAAAAGGGGCTCCGTCGCCTCTCGGAGAGCTACGTGATACCCTATCTACCAGATGAGGATGACGAAGGTCATTCCATCCCCACCGAACCACCAATAGTGTCACGTCCGTCAACATGGTCTAACGTCGCCGTTCTAAGAGCGGGCGAGGCAACATGCGATCGTGGGGGCTGGGACATCTCAGGCGAAAAAATAATAGGCGTTCGCCGCATATCCCGAGCTCACACAAAAAGCTCATTCCAGCTTCTACCTTCATTGACATCGCGTGGACTAACATCTGCGGTTCTGGACCGGTGGGAGGTCTGGTTGTTCGATACTGGTGTCTCAAAGACACGAACTGCTGCTATGTCAAGCCTAACCGACGAACTCCCTCTTTCTCTCCGTCGGTCCTTCCTTTCTTCTATGTATCTCAGCCAGCCACCCTCGCCGACTGCGGTGCCAGAAGAGTGCCCCCGCATTCCATTCACGAGAGTGTCGCCCTTCCTTGCTATCCGCGGAGCTGCGATGGCGGGCTTTGGGAATACTGTTGGGCTCTTCCTTGTTTCATGATATTTATTGCGTATGGATATCTTTACCTGGTGCATTTGTTCGCTATCGAAGTGTAATCTGTCTTATTTACCGTAGCTCTTGTTGTGATAGGATCCAGCTGGGTCTTGTATAATATTGTACTTGTTTGAATAATCATGAACGTCTGACGGGCAACTGCTCACTATGTTGAGTATTTTTTGGCACAAGCTTGTGGACTGCGCAACCGGAGTCACTACTATCTTGATATGGCCCAGAGTGCTATGGACTAAGTCTAGTTGCAAATTACGAAATCGCACAACTTTTCCAACAATGTTACCTGTCACTCCCCCAACAAGCCATCTTGCCCTCCTCAATTGTCCCACCTCTCCCTCCAATGCTTCCATCTCTTATAAGTTAAGAGTGGGCAGTGAGATCTCAGAAGATACACTGAAATCATGTGCTGATCTCTTCAGCTCCCACTATGGTATTTGGGGTGATCAAGCAAGTACAATTTCCAAGTATACCATAGCTGGTCAGTAATCAGGACATGGATCCTTGGCCATTGCTGAGTCCTTTAAACAGGGAAAAATGTCAGGATGACCAGTGCAAAACTACGAGCTCAATGTTTATCTCACCCAGAGAATACTGTTTTGGTATCCTGCTACCTCCAGGTTGAGCATGAGCATCCCCAACTCTATGGTCAGTGCATTTGCTACTGTGTGGGATCATGGTGAAAAACAAAGGTAGCTCATGTCCCACAATTTCTTGCAAAATCTCACTTTCTGATTCTGTTCAAGTTGGCTGGGTGACTCAGCTTGTTGTCCATAAAGCAGTCCAGTCGGCGTTACATTGCAACTCAGCTCTTGCAAGCCCTCAAGTTTCATGCCTTATTCTCTGATGTCAATATTGTTGGTCTGGCCTCATCTCACCCTGTTTCTTGCAATGCTTTGGCAAAATATGCTGGTAAGTTAATGTTATCACCCTCATCATATCCAGATATCACAACTAATAACATGAAGCTGGCAAGTATCAACAATGTCAATTTGGATTTCATTCACGAACATGCCAAGGGGATTCTGGAATCCTCTCCCATCAGCTATCTGAAGGCCACTCAATTGAGGGGCACACTCTTCCAAGACAACTGTGACAACAAAGCCATCTCATCTGTGTTCACTGAGTTTTACATTGACCACACTGAGCCTTTAGCAGTGTTGCAACAGTACAAGAAGAGAGGTCGATGGTGCTTGGGTGAGCTCCTCGATGGACTGTGAATTTCTTGCCATCTTTCCTATTGCAGTTAGCCTAGAGAGCTACTAGCTTACCCTGTGTAATCTGATTGGAGAACTGAATCCTGCTGTGTATGTAGTAGTTTTTGCACTTTGGCCTACTAGTGTCCTGCAAATGGCTGTAATTCACTTTTGCCTTCCTCCTTATCAAGCCAAGGACTACTCTCGTTCATTGCAAATGTTAATGATGTGCCAGACTGTTATATTTTCTCATGTAGACGAGTTGCTGAACACAGTCAATGTGGGTGTCATCAAGTCATTATTCTCAGTTGCAGGGACTCAGTTACTGTCCGTGGGGCACTGTGCCCCGTGCCCCATGCCATAACCTTGTTTGGTCGACTAGTAGTCGAAACTTACTTCAGACAGGCGGGAGGAATATTATAAGTGCATGAGATAACAATAATGAGTGCAACTACCGGTATGTTTATTCGCGCTACTTGATCATCTCCAATATTCTCAAATAATCTGCTCGTAAGCTTTGGAATGTCTCCTCCAGTTTCTCCAGTCGCTCCTCCTTCTCTAATTGGGCCAAGATTTCCTATCGACGAGAGGACATTAATTAAAGGCAAGATGAAGTTGGCGGCGAGACCTACGAAGTTGAAACGATATAACCGTTCCTTGACCTGCAGTCGATATGCTCTTGCAGCCTGAATGTCGGTGGGGTTGAAATGCCTCAAGATAAGCATTTCCATAAGTCGTTGCCATTGACGCTGGAAAAACTCAGAACCATGATCAGAATAAACTAAATTCAGGACTTACCCCCGCCACCTTGAGTTGTGTCCGAAACGTCTCAGACCAAGCTTTGTCTATCGGGGGACCCATCTTCCCGGTGCCTTTCACCATACCAGATGATGCACCCACCGGGTTTGCTCGAACGCGAGTTTTCCGTTTTCGTACCTTTCCTCCACCGTGCGAAACCGCCTCGTTGCCAAAGCCTTCTTTCATAAAATTCTCGTTGGCGAGGAGCATCCTCAGGTCATTTCGATCTCGTAGGTCCTCGAATGCCTCAGCAGGATCTTCTACTGTCAACTCAGATATGAGGGGGTTAAGGAGGACGTAGTTATAGATGGTTTTATACAGCTCCGCTTCAAAGACTTGAGCATTAATAGAGGCGCAGGATAATAGTATCAGTACTTACATCCATGGCCTTGGTGTTGGTGCGGTGGTACAATTACAAATTGACTGTGCAAGCCATACATTGATTATGTAGATTCAGTTCACAAAGGAAGTACGTACCTAAGACGAAGACGGTGTTTCTCGGGAAAGCAGTAGAATTTGTACACTGATGAATACCCAATGAAATGGTATGTCTTCGTGCCATTTTGCCGCTTGCGTTTTTCGTACCTGTTTGCACGCGGTTAAATAATCTGGTAGATACGAATGAGTAACTGACGACACAAAAAAGTGCCACGCGTCGTCGTCTTCATTGATGTAGGAGCCTGCTTCAATGTATAGCAGAATGAAAAGCTGCATTCGCCTGTGATATTCTCTGAATCCTGGATCGTTCCATGTCGCCTGTACGCGCCTTGGCAAAATTTCATGGCCGAAAGTACTCATGACACTTACATGGTACACCTCGTGTTCGACCACTTCCCGAGTGGCAGATCCGGACCCTGACGTGTTTGGTACGGGTCGAGTATAAGTATGTACGACGCTGCCTATAGGCTGAAATGAAACTGCATCTTCTGCGACACGTGTGAGAAATGCTGCTTCGTCTGTATCATAGTCTGTCAGGTACAAAGTCAGTTACGGAGTAGTAGGTATGAGAAGTGGAACACACCAGGAGATATGAACTCTTTTAATATGCCTTCCACATTGTCCACAGTTGTAGACGCATCTAGCTTTTGAGCGTAGCGCACAGAGAGGTATTGTGCCAGTGAACCGGAGGCAAATCGAAGCTGCAGGCCACCGGTTGAATGTTCAGCGCCGATGTCGACGAATGAGGTATAACGCACGTCAATTACCAAGTCTTGGTATCCATAAATCTTCTCTTCCTCCCCGTAGATCTGGACAGCATGTTAGCGTATCACAGGAGCGTGTATAACATAAAGTAAAAACATACAGGGTAAGTAAATGTCGGATGAAATTCTTCGGAAGTTTCTTCGCTTCCGGGCACCTGTTTATCCTCCTCTGCTCGGACTGCACAAAACGTGTTAGCTATGCTTGAGCTCGTGTATAGTGACCCACCTAGTGAAAGAGTGAGAGCATCATTTGCATCTGCTGTCCAGTCTACTGTTGCCATATTTTCTACAGATCGAAACTTGTAGGTTCTAACTTACATAATAATCGCTGGCAAATGTAACCCGTGACGCGTGTCTTTGTCACTTTACACGTGACCCGCGACTTTCGATGACGCAGCAATGACCAAGTTCTGACTGAGCAGGGTGCTAAGGCCTATATAATTAGAGTGCAGACGAGCCATTGCTCGTCCAATTCCTTAAGGTGGCCCCTTTATTGCAAAGCGCCCTATTTGTTGCGAAAATTGCAACATCGCATTCCTTAGTGCGCGCACAGGCATCGCAGCGGCTCTTCCAGGTAATGCCCTGCCAACTTGAATGTGCCATGATAGGCTCATGGGTCACCTCAGTATCTGATCTTCTCTTGTTCCCACACCCCAGATATCAAGATCATTCTCGAATATCAGCACGAAGATGGCACCACTCAATAAATTGCAGGAGAGATACGACTACATCTGCATCGGTGGTGGAAGCGGAGGAGTCGCATCATCGGTGTGTCATTTAAACAGGGTGATCGTGTGGAGATCCTGAGTGCTTCCGCCCCAGCGTCGCGCTGCATCTTATGGCAAGAAAGTTGCTCTCATCGAATCGTCACCGCATCTGGGTGGTACTTGCGTGAATGTTGGCTGCGTTCCCAAAAAAGTGTGTCATTTCTTGCATCTCGTTCCTTACCCCTTGATGATTGTTGGCATAGATCATGTGGCATGCGGCCGACCTTGCAGACCGTCTGCGCCATGCAAGCAAAGGATATCATTTCGAAAATGTCCCACCGCCCCAGTTCAACTGGGCATCCTTTAAACCGCAGCGTGATGCCTACATTCGCCGGTTGAATGGCATATATGAGAAGAACCTTGAGAAAGAAAAGGTGGACTACTATGGTGGCACTGCTCGTCTAGTCTCGCCCAACGAGGTTCAGATCACGCCGTCCGACGGTAGCGAGCCGTACGTCATAGCAGGTGACTACATCACCGTTGCCACTGGAGGTCGCCCTACCATACCGAGTGACGACCAGATCCCCGGCGCGAGTCTCGGAATCGATTCTGATGGTTTCTTTGACCTTGAGGACCAACCCAAGCGCGTGGCTGTCGTCGGCGCAGGATACATCGCCGTTGAGCTCGCCGGTGTACTTCATACACTAGGTAGTGAGACACATGTTCTCATCAGGCGCGAACACGTTCTCCGCACTTTTGATCCCATCCTCCAGGATACACTCACACCTTGGATGGAGCACACGGGAATCAAGATCCACAAGAATACATCGGTCATCAAAGTTGAAGGCCAGAAGGGTGGTGAATTGACTGTGCACCTCAACGATGGCACACAACTCAAGGTGGACTGCGTGCTGTGGGCTATTGGACGGCACGCAAACACTGAGGGTGTGGGTCTCGAAGAGCTTGGGATCCAGCTCGACAAGAAGGGCGATGTAGTTGTGGATGAATTCCAGAAGGCCCTGTTTGTAGAGGGCAAGCCTCAGCTACAGAATATATTTGCGATCGGTGATGTCCAGGGCAAGGCGCTCTTGACGCCTGTCGCTATCGCAGTAGGTCGGCGACTATCCAATAGGCTGTTCGGGCCTGAGAAATTCAAGAACGACAAATTGTTGTATGAGGATATCCCAACGGTCGTTTTCTCGTCAGTATACCTCTCTTCTGTCGGAAGTGCTCGTTCATAGTGCATATACAGTCACCCCACCATTGGCACAGTAGGCCTAACGGAGCTCGAAGCTCGCCAGAAGTATGGGTCTGCTGTGAAGATCTGTGTGTCTGCGTTGTTTCTTTTTAAAAGCCCAAAAATGCTCATTTCAGCATAGACAAATCCTCGTTCCGTTCTCTTTACTTCTCTCAAATTGAGGAAGATCACAAGGAGCCTACCGTGTACAAGCTTATTGTTGTTGGCGAAGAAGAACGTGTAGTTGGTGTACATATCATTGGACAAGGAAGCGACGAGGTATTGCAAGGCTTTGCAGTGGCCGTCAAGTTGGGAGGTGAGTGCTTTCCATCGTCATATTTCAGTTGATAACTGATCCATGTGTCAAGCCCGGAAACAGGACCTAGATGACACGGTTGCTATCCATCCAACATCTGCTGAAGGTGAATGAGCTCCATCATTTGGTAGATTTGACTTGCTGACGGACATGCGCAGAACTGGTCACCCTTCGTTAAGCCAACCACGCTGGTGGGGTTCGGCCATCATATAGCATAGCATAAAGCCAGGTGTACTTTTAGAATACAAATTTTAGAAGCGCTGAAGCCGAAGCTTATCGACGAAAAGAACGAAATGACTCAGATGATCCGATCAGGGGGACTCAGTCTCTGGCCGTGCCACACCTACCAGGCATCTTTAAAACTCCGAAGAGTATGCACTGCCAAGTCCCAACTCGAATAACACCAAAAGCCACCACGGAATCTCACGTTGTGCGGCGCGTGAATATATGCATTCGTGCCAGTAAGTTCAATGCGCATTGGACATTCACATAGAGAGAAGTACATAACATGCCTTCAGAAAGGTGAGCTGGAAAAGATAGGTGGAGTCCTTGGCAATTGTTCTGATTTTAAAGGCATTCTAGTCCGCAGACATGCTGTTTTGTATCTCATGTGAGCATCAGCTTGTAAATTAAAAGAAACTACCGAAATACCTAATTACAATGATATAGCAATGCACCTCTCAGGAGTAAAACTTCGGGAATGACATCCAATTGCCGCAAGCTTCGGATGTCCCTAACAGCGCCATGCAGTGATAAACTCGACATCTGGATCATTGTAACCCCCTGCGACAGAGCGTTTCAATATGTGTCTTATCGTTGAACATTAAACGTTGGTTCTGAATGATGAAGGATCCCCGACTCTACGGAGTAGAGGATTTCGTGGGATGAGATCGGCCAGGACCGGTCGAATATAGATCGCCCAGTCA